AGAAACCTTAACTGGGGGCTTCTGCTTCAGTGTAGATGAAACACAGTATATGTCAAGCTCACCCTTAATTTTGTAAAAGTTTTCGGGGTACCACATAATTGTGCTATTGAGAAAGAAATCTACAAATTGTGTTCTAGTATTTTGTTACGTGTTACTGAAGTTGCTGTAAGTTGACACAGTACGAGGTACATACATGGTGGTGATGGAGAATTCACAGAAACTTTAATGATATCAATATCATCATGGCTTTCTTCTTTTCCTTATAAAGTATTTTTAAGTAGGTTGCTTTGTAAATAATGTTATGTATTCATTTTATCAGCTTTTGTATTAGTAGCAGTAGAAGGAAATCTACCAGCTTACGATGCTAATTTGTTAGAATGGCTTTTGGGAAAACAATGAACTATGAGTTTTGGTAATTTTAAGTAATAAACTGTTATTTTTCAGCATCCACAGGCAACGTACCTCTTGTGTCTGTGCGTGCATGTGGATTGTATGGTGCTGTTTTCAGTAGCAAGACTGTATAGTGTCAGATGATAGGACATGTGAATGATGAGTTCAAAAATATTTGGAAGGAATTGACCATGATCTATTCGAAGATACTATCCCTACATTTGCCTGGAAGGACTGAGGAAAACCACGAAAACCCTCAGTCAGGATAGTTGGTGACATGGCTGGTTTTTTTAAACAAGCACTTCCTGAATACAAGTCTGCAACAGTACCTCTAAACCAACCTGTTTTATATGTACCTTATAAATCTCACTTTCTTTGTATTAACACTTCGCGGACCGGTGATTTAAATATTTAAATCACCCTGGGGACCGGCATTTTTAACATACTACCCTAACTTGTGCACTGTTCACTTTAAAAATTAATATAAAATCTCCTAATTAACTTTTTGAACTAAACTTTTTGGAGAACACTTACCAATGCTCCTAGAAGTGCTTGAGAGTGTGATATTTCTGGAAACTTTCCCCTTTGTGAAGTGGGATTACACAGAACTTGCAAATGTAGACATACTCATTTTTTTGTGAACTGTGCAAACACGGCATTGCCTAGAAGTATTCTTCCCCTTGGAATGTTCACTCTTCACCATTTTCACGAGGGTATTTTTCTGCATATTACTTGAGAGTCGCCCTGGGGGGTCCACATGAGACCTTCGTGGGGTTGGAATTGATGGGCCCGGTCGTACTAAGTCTTTGTGTGACCCTGGTTCTGCCGCCACCATCTGGACCGTAGCCCAGGCCTTTGCCACATTCATCAGAAATGCTTTGTATTTCAATTTTGAATCAGGGTTTAGATTTTCTTTTGGATTTTTTGCTGCCCCCGCAGTGTTACTACGCGCAATGTTATTACCCGCATTATCGTCGGAGCTACTGTCAATTTACTGTCTGTGGCCACAATTCTTTGTTGTCCCCCGTCACTGTCGCTGTCTGAATGACAGTCCATTACTACGCGTCTCACAATGCAGGTCAGCTAGGTCATCAGAGGAGAATTTGTCCTTGATCCATTCTCCCCACTAGCTACTGGCTGATACACATGGCTTGAAGAAGGCAAAGCATTTTCCTTTATAGTCGGATAAGTAAACAGCGAGGTCAAGTTGCTGACTGCTAACTAAACATTCCAGAGTCTTATCACGCATCTGCAGGCAGTTGCGTGCAATGTAGGTGGCACCAGAGCAATGTATAGTGTGTTGCAACTTATTGCGTTCTAAAAACCAGTTAACATGCGAACGGTCCGCCACGTTTAAAAGTGAAAAACCTTTTAAAGGGTGCGCGGCCCGCAAAGTGTTAAGAGTGAGTTCTGTGTTTCATTTGCTGAAATGCCATGAAACCTTTCCTTTCATAAAATATTCATCTTGATGGGTATAAGTCTGTTACTTTGTGAGCAGGAGTAAACAATAGAGAAATCTAGTTTAAGAAATGTCTAAATATATGCTGATGAAGAAAATTTTATGATCACTGAAGGAATTTGTGCACCAGATAGCCCCCTGTTAGTAATATATGAAGACTATTTTCAGGCAAACTTATTGTGGAGTCTAATATATTTGGGTATATAGGGAGGTCTTTTGATGATAAAATGTAAATACCGTCTCCCATTGAAAATCAGCCACCACCTTCACAATACTGAATGCAGGTTTGTTTGTCATCATGTAACATTTCATGATAATTTAGTCTATAAACTGCAAATGAATGCTATATAAAAAGACAGATTTGCATTCATTGCATAATATTTCTCCCTTAGTAATGTTATCTTTTTGAACATGGTGCTGAAATTCTAAACACCCATTGAATTGGAGATGAAAGTCTTTACAACACAGACATACTGCACTGATCCATATGTTATATATTGTAGCGTGTAGAGCTGTTGTTATGCAATGACCGTGAGATGAGCATATATTCCAGGGCCTTTTCTCAGCATCGCCTCAGTATGCACATCCCATTGCTAGGCAGCAGATTCTCAATAATGTAACAATTGGACTACAGCAGTGGAAGAGCTGTGTCTTCTACATGGTCTTTGTTGAGATTTTATTAGCAAGGGACGTGTACAGGAGTCTGTGAAGTGAGAAATTGAGCCAGAAGCAGAAGAATAGCCACTGTTGGAGCCATTACCAGGAAACGTCTAGTAACAGACAGAGAACACTAGATTGTGTACTCTAGTGTAGTGATTTGTAAAGTGTGGAAATCAGCGGTAGTGTTATACTAGTTATTTGTAGTTGCTACCTATAATATCTCAGTAAATCTATTCACCAATCCAAACCCCATCTATAGTCACCCCAACATGTGGCGACTGGTGTCAGAAGTTGTTGGATTTGAAACCGCAATACTATGGATATGGAACAAATGATGGCATGACCTGTTGCCAAAGTAAATGCTGAAATAGGAGCCAAGGAAGTAAAAACAGATGCCAGCCAAGCAAAAACAAATGCCACCCTAAAAGAATTAAAAGTCGCTTAAGAACTCCTGAAAGAAGAAATGTTGGCAAAAATGGAAGTCAATCAAGAAAAGATGGAGGCCAAATTAGATGCCCATCATGAAAAGATGATGGCCAGGATGGATTCCCAGCTATAGAAAATGGAGGCCTGTCTACACAAGACAGAGGCCACAGATTTGGAGGCAGATCCAGAAGAAAATAGATTCTGAGGTGGATCATGGAAGAGGTCCCTAAGGAAGAGGCCGCAGTGGAAAATTTTGAGCACGCAGGAGCAATATGGGTAGCAGCATCTAGCCATAGGGTGCCATGGAGAGCTGAAGAAACTGACCCAGGGTAGTGGTGGGTCCCAGAAGAAGTTGGCTGCCGCCTGCAAACGGATGACTCACCATGCATGGCATAAGGGACACTGTTGTTAGCGACAAGGCAAGGACTAGGCTGTACCAGGAACCAAAAAAGGATAGATGTTTTGAAAGAGATGTTGGGTGAAACTGGAAGGCATCAGTGGAGTAAGGGACCGAGACTTAAAGAAGTAACTACGTCTGAGGAAGGAGAAGATATCTTGCAGGATCTTCAGGAAAACCATTGGGCTAGAGATCATGAAGGTCTTCTTTCAGGGTTTGGAAAATGAATGACTGGACATCGTGGAGAAGTCACCCCCCTCCAATATGAAAAAGGAGACTGCACACTGATTGAAAGCTGGAAATGTAGAAACACCAACCACTCTAAATAGTTTGCCTGCACTGACCAAGAGAAGGATCTTAACTGTTTGCACCCTGTTGGGTATCATAATGTAGAAAAGAAGGTTGATGAAAGTACACCTGGACTGGCTTCCGCCCTATCTGGGAACCTCTTGGTATGAGCGGCCTTATGGAGGGAGCAGTTGGAGAGTAATCACCAGGAGAACCAAGCCACGTGGAAGGAAGGCAAGGCCAGTCACAGACTTCACAAGCACAGCCATCGGAAAAGAAGAGATGGTGGTATGCCTGTAGGCCATTTGGGACGAATAGCCTTAAGGAGGGGAGCAGTGTAGCATGTAGATCCATAACTATGGGACGACCGCAGGATAGGCAAATATGCCATACTCATCTCTAGGCAGTGGCTCAGTAAACACATTCCCATTGCTAGGCAGCAGTAATGCAAACAGTTGGACTATGACAATGGAAGAGCTGTGTTTTCTGCATGGTCCATGCCTAGAGGTTATACACTAGGCAAGGTTTGGGGTATAGTTGATAGTTCTCTACATGAGTCTGTGAAGAGAGGATTTGAGCCAGATGCAGATGAATTGCCATTGTTGGAGCCATTACCAGGAAATGTCTAGTAACAGACTGTATGGTCTAGTGTAGTGATTTGTGAAGTTTGGACATTAGCGATAGTGTTATCATTATTTGTAGTTACAGCCTCTAAGTGGTCAATAAATCTGTACATCAGTCCAAACCCCTATGTGTGACAGTAGGTTAGTTATGGTTTCAAATCAGTCTTAGCAATGGAGTAATATTTTTATGTGGATATTTTAAAATGTGACTGCCTAAGCCAACTTGACTCCATCCCATGGATCTCATATCTCCAGTACTTGAGATACATGGTACTTGCTATTGTTATTTTTGCTTCAGGTTTTCTGTTTGTGATTATATGTTCTCCAAATAAAAACTGTAAACATTTATATTGAATTTGTCTGTTATGTTAACAGATATCTGTTACATATAATGAACTCTGTGTACTACAGTAGTTCATTGATTGGTCATCATTTATATATACTCAGATTGCTATTATAAATTTTATGATGATGATTTAGAGGCTATAATGATCTCATTTTACTCCTGAGAAGATATTACAAGTCCATTAATAGTTCTGTTGTAATGAATTTTACAACTCTTATTTCCTGTCTGTTTTAACACATTACCCTACTTTCAAACATCAATAATTTAAACAGAAATAGTTATTTATCCTGTTGTTCATATGCTGTTGTGTTTACATTTAGTATTTCAAGAAGAGATTTTGGTTGAGGTCAGTATGTAATCTTTGCATTTGTATATTTCCTGCTGTTTAGTAATGTATTTCAAATTTTACAGGATTCAGAGTCTGAAGAAGAATGTATCCCACATTCATTGATGAATAATGATGAATTCAGACTTCTTATCAGAAGGTAAATTAATTTCACTTCGTATGTTATTCATGTTAATTAGAGATAATGTAATGTAAGGTGATTCTGGTTATTAATGCAAATTAATAGAAGTTATTTTTGTAGCACAGTGATTTTAGATATTATCCATTGTGTGGTACGTATTTGATGATACATATTTTAGAAAATAGGACTCCACCAGTCTTAAAGTGACTGGTTATCAGTACTTACTTACTCATGGAACTGAGCCCTTCTGGAGGAGCCACAAATTCTGCTGCTACTCAAGAATTTCCCAGCATTTTATGGAACCTGAAGGTTCATTACCATGTTCACAAGAGCCCTCCACTGGTCCCTATCCTGAGCCATATCAATTCAATCCATCCCATTCCATCCCATCCTATCTCTCTAAGATCCATTTTAATATTGTCCACCCACCTACGCCTTGGTCTTTTCAGTGGTCGTTTTCTTTCTGGCTTTTCCACCAATATCCTATATGCATTCCTCATCTTCCCCATTTGTGCTACATGCCCTACCCACCTCATCCTCCTCGACTTGATCATTCTAATTATACACGTACTTGGAGAAGAGTACAAGTTATGAGGATGCCCTCCAGGTTTGGAGGGAAGCTGCGAATATATTGAATAAGCAGTCGTGGACAGCCGACAAGGGTTGGTCCTCCAGCATGGGGGTCAGACTTGGGGCTAACAACTCCTCACTGTAAAAAATAATCATGTTACGAAAATGAACATGAAGCCTCAGACTTGGACGGATCCTCTGGATAAACGACCTAGGCTAAGGAGATGTTTATCAGTAAAGACTGGATTTTAATGCATATGCATATTTCTTTCTTGCAACCAAATAGTATGCTTATTTGGATATATGTATGAATTCCCGTTTTTCTTTGTTTATTCACCAAACTATGAATTGTTTGTCTTGCTGGGAACTCTTTCATCACAACATTTTCATCGATTTTTTTACTGACACTTTCAAGCAGATTCATATTTCATTTAGGTATCATACAGAAATATGTGTTGCTTTAAAGTATAGCGAACAGTGTCATGCCACACTGCTGACTAACTTACCTGGGAACAAATGACTCATGATGCTGATAACTACTGCCTACTGCTCACAAATCATAAACAAACTATCGTAAATGAACCACACTGTCCACTGTGTAACTTAATACTGTGTAGAGGTGTACAAGTTAATTATTTTCCTTCATTCCAAATGTTATTGGCCATCAGGCATGCTATGCCATCAGCAGAAAACGCGTGCACTTCATGGCCAGCGATGCACCGGTAGCAGTGAAGCGTAGCGCCATGAATGCATCTAGTTACTGAAAATGTTCCCTGTATATTGTGGAAGGGAGACTTAGGGATCCATATCCTGTCATGTGAAATTGTTTGTTGGTGGATGAATATCTTTATCACTGGGTGATAAGACACAGCATATGTCCTTACAGGGGTACTTCATCAACCAGCACTGACATGGCACATGTAGCTTATATACACAGAATTCCATGTCCTGCAATTGCAGCAGAATGCAAATCTCACTAACACCAACACACTGAACACTTTAAGAAGATATATATGTTGCTGATTGCATTTTGAAGTTGAATGCATAATGGCTGAATTCATTTAATCTGGAACTAAAGCAGCAAATTACTGAGTGGTGATACCCTATCCCACCATGGAAGAATATTTCATAGCACCATCAGTTTGCTCTGACAATGATGCATATCATATTCTTTGTTAGTCAGGCTTACACCTGACCATCCCATTCCGCCTTGTACTATTTTTAATGGTACATGTTATTTGACATTACTGTGTTTTAAGTTGTGACAATTGGAAGCAATCAGTCATTACATGACATCATTTTCCAGTAGGACATTGTAGTTCCCCATGAAGATCATCAAGTTCTAAGCTTGCTACAGGCCTGAGATTGGAAGGTGCTGGCACACCGTCATTTCCTGGACTAATCAGTTCCAAACAATCACTTGCCCAGATGCAGCACCCCCCACAACAAGGTCAATACACTAGAACAAACAAAAGGAGAAAAAGCATAAACAGCACACAACACTTGCCTATAGATTCTAGTGGAACACGTAATCTGCATAGCAACACAAGTATACATGAGAAACCTTGTAATGACCAGAAAAACGAGAGAGAACAACATTCACAATACCATTATGTTGTAAATGAGATAAACATTAATTATAACACAACATTTTAATATTTTTAGTGTAATTTTATGAAATATTGACACATAACACCATATGATTACTTCCAGAAATAAACAGATCTTCATAGCAGGCAGAAAAATGAAAGGAAACAATGAGATTATTCACAGTGCCACTATGACAAACCAAAGTAACATGAATTATAACACAGCATTTTAACATATAACAATTTAATATTTTAATACTTCTAACATAACTTGGAGAAAAATGCATAATGAGGAGCTTCATAACTTGCACACTTTGCCAAATATAATTAGAATGATCAAGTCAAGGAGGATTAAATGGGCAGGGCATGTGGCATGAATGTGAGAGAAGAGGAATGCATACAGGATATTGGTAGGAAAGCTAGAAGGAATGAGACCACTAGGAAGACCAAGATATAGGTAGGTGGATAATATTAGAGTGGATCCTAAGAGAGACAGGATGGGGTGGTATAGACTAGATTGATCTGGCGTAGGATAGGGACCACTGGAATACTCTTTCGAACATGGTAATGAACCTTCAGGTTCCATAAATTGTTCTGAAATTTTTGAGTAGCTGCAGAGTTGTCTTCTCAAGAAGGGCTCAATGCTAGGGAGTTAGTTAGCATAATTTTACATGAGAGACATTGGCGCATAACACTCTGTGATTACTTCCAGATGTAAACATTGGCCAGGGTAGGGAGAAAATAACAGAAAAACAAAGTTGACTGTAGAAACATATATTACCTGATGATGGCCAAAACACATTATAATGTATAATATAGTTTAATTAATTATTCACATAAATTGTGGTGACTGAAATAAATAATACAATATGATGCTACAATACAGTGTTTCATTCTAAATAAGTTGTGCTATATAATTACTTGTCATGATTACTTACCAGTCGCATTAACACACTGGTTGTTAAGTGATAATGATGTTTATGTAAAGCTCATTCACACATGGCTTCATATCCTGCAGAGGGTATGGATACTTATGTGAATTATTCATCCTGATCTTTGCAACAGGTTCCTTCACTCTGGGTGTCAGTTAGTGTAATTAAAATCTACCAAGGCTAAAACTGAAAGGTGTTTCACAGCTTCAAGGTTAACCTGAAGGAAGGGAGTGATACAAAACACAAAACTTGTGTGTAAATACATTTTGACAGTAATGTGAATGACGTCAAGACTTCTGTTGTTATTGTTGTTGTTGCTGTCATTATCATCATCATCGTTGTTGCTGCTGCTGTTCTGTTGAAGATTTTTTATAACATGAACTAGCCCTCCAATCCAAATTATCACCCACTATGTTGCAAAGGTTTGTGTTGCAAATTTGAATACTGTTATTAATTTTAGTTGTCTTCTGTAAGGATTCTACTTCTGAGAAAGTTAAATATGCAAACTGAACAACCATGTGGTAGTTACCTTAGGTAAGCCTGCAACTAATATTGTAATGTAGTTCCAAATATACAGTGGTTTCTGTAGGTGACATTCTTTCATTGAGATTTCTGTTAATTTTCAGTGCATATATTTCTTAAAATGGCATGTGACAGTTGTGAAATTGGTATCGCAAATAGTTTTATATTATAATATGAGGTAAATCTACAATATACAGGTACTTCCTGATTTATGTTATTCCAAATTATGCTGTTTTGATGTAATGTTGTTAACAATTATTTTACTTTTCCCCCTTTTTTCTTCTTTCTTTTGATCTTGCAGCATTTTGTGTTTGATGCAATTTAATTTTTTAGTTGAGGCCTCCAAAACATGGGCTATATATGCTCTCTTTTGAATGTGACTTCATCAGAAGTACTTTAAGGAACGAAGTCATGACAGGACGATCTTGCTTGTTTTGGACATAGTGCTAGGTTATCCTATTAAAATTCAAGACCTGGCCAGGAACATAAAAGTTATTTTCATGCCACCAAATATGACCTCATTGGTGCAAATGACAGACAAACAGATGATGGCAACATTCAAGGCCTTTTGTTTTGGTGATACCATGGGCCAGTAGCTCACCAAGACAGGTGGTAAAAACAAGTCATCTCTTCAGGGTTGCTGGAAGAGTTGCAATATTAAAAAAACCACAGACAACAAAGGTACATCATTGAAGTACTAGATCACTCAAGCTATGCTGAATGGTGTATGGCAGAATATATGAATAGAATGCATACATGATGTCCAGGAATAAGTGCAGCTGCAGAGTGCGGAACTGGCAAAGGAGAATGGCTTTGGCAAAGTGAACCAAAATAATGAACTGATCAAAAAGGATCTGATTGCGTTGAAGTGACAAGGTGTAAGAGAGTAGGAGGAAGAAGAAACATAACCGCACCACAAGTAAAGCACTGAACTATGAAAAGGACATTTAAAGCCTTCATTTTTTTTTCAAGAAGGGCACGGACATTTTTGTTGAAGATAGCTCAAACCTTGGACAGAGTGGCAAGCACAATAGAGGGATGAGTGATAAGCTGAGGACCACTCTCTTCTCCTGCATGCCATGATATAATATCTTTACCCCACCTTCCCAAGTAGGATATAATCACAGTTCTTGTCAAAGATATGGTAGTGTTTCTTTCTGCTTTATGGTGGAAACCTGAGTGGCCAGTTGGTTTGTTACATTTCTCAGCTCATTGTTTGCTTGACTCGTCTCCGTGTGATCATGGTATTATAGCTATAAAACTCTGGCCTTAAGGCTTCCCTTTTTTGTCTTGTCTTCTCCAGTAGTTGGCCTGATGGCCTTGTTGGCAGTAGGAACTGAATCTTGAGTTACACAGTTAGGAAGGTTTCATTTGGTAGTACATAAACAAGATGCAATCTAGTGAACTTTGAGAGGCAGAGGACTCTTTTGAAATAGGTTACCTTCACACTTCCCAGCATTGCCATGTCATTCTCCATCAGATGTTCTCACACATGATTCAAGTTCTTTATCTCTGTCGTTGGTCAGACAGCTGACACTACTTTCTTTCACATGCTCCTTGATTTTCCAATAGTTTGCAAAATGATGTCATATTATCCTGTGGGATGGACATTTCAAATTTATTTATTGATAATTATTGCAGGAATTTTGAATTTATTGCTCAAACCCTCAGTCTGACATGTAGTAGTTATATAATATAACATTGATTTGACTAACATGTTAAGAAATGCATTTCTTGGTGTTGATAAAACCTTTGCACTTTCAGGCAGGAACTGGAAATGGAGGCATTGAAGCAAAAACATCACAAAGAAATTGTGGCATTCCAACATCAGCACTTCATGCAGCAGTTGAACATAAATACTGGAAAATTCCAGACTTTCCAGCAGATATCAACATCATCAGCACCCACCATATCAAACCCAGCAGCAGCAGCCATGTACCCAATTATGTATCAGCCCATGACTCCAGCATATGCAGGTAATCCAGAATTATATATTCCTCATAAAACATATAGGTATGATTCATGATTAGTGGACATGGAAAATAATATCTTGTGGCTGTGAATCAATATCTTTCTTCCTATTGTGGGGATTTTTTGGTGCCATTCATAACTAGATGAGTTTTTAATATGTGTTACTTATGGTAAAATAATGCCTAATTTTTATGTGATACATTGAACTAGATATATAAACAAGTTGAATTAACAGCCATTGTTATTTAACTTTTACTGCTTATGATACAGAAACACTGAGATACTGGATGGAATGGCAAAGGATGATGAAGAACAGAATTGGTATAATGTTTTTCTGTGCACATATGACAAAAACATTAAATACCAAAATTATCTGAAGCACTGTATATGTCTTAACTTAGTGTTGCAGTAGAGTTCAAAGAAGAAGAAAGAACACATTTGAAACCTTAGTCCTAACTACATGATAATTGATAATTGATTACTCAGAACTTTATGCCACTGAGCTGGTCTAAACATATTTCTTTGAAGGTACAAAGCTGAACAAGATGTTCAATAAATTAACACAGATTTAAATATACTTTTTAGTGAAATGGAACTGTATAATTTGCCTTTTATGTTTTATTTCATCCACACTGTTGCATACTCAAGACACTTTTCTGTTGCATTGTCTGACATTAAACCAACATTTGATGGTGGAAGGCAGACCTTATCATTCTGTTTACCATACAGTATTGTATGAGGAAAACAGCATGAATCACATCTTAATGTCAACATCAAGGCTGACACTGCGGCTGTTAATTTGTCTTGCCTCGTAGCTACACTGTGATTAGTGCAGATGAAGTGTATGTGTTTAAATCTGCTGTAGAGTTTTATTCCATTATCTAGTTAGGCTACAGCCAAAGGTACATGCTACCAGTAAATTGTATTTTGATGTGAAATACTTTGTGATGTGGAAGAAAGTGTAGAATTTTAAAAAATATAATACACTTCTTTTTTAAATACTGGATCAAGGGCAGATAGTGTATCATTTTAAGGAGAAGCTCAGGTCCCCCCCCCTTTTTTTTAATTGTTATGTCTGTAAACACATTGATAATACGAGCTAATTCTATAGCGGTGAGTGCACCACGTGCTCCTGGAGCCAGTTTAGAAGATTATTCGATGTACAGCACAGCACCACAATCACCCACATTTGAAGCAAGTGGATGCCCATCTGTAACAAATACACCACCACAATCAGTAAATGGTAAGCCGCATTCCATGACATCTGAAGAAATATTTCATCTCACTGGTGCAGCAAACCAAGTTTTAACAAGACCAGTTGTTATTAACACTGCAAATGGACCTCAGTTTCTCTCTAACCATCTTGGTGTGGTGAATCCAAATGGAACAGTGATAGGATATAATCCAACAGTCTTCCACCAAGGGAACAGCCTTGGATCACCTAACACTGCTGTGAATGGCTGTCTAGGAGCAGAGCCAGGTAATATTGTCACAGTGAGACCTGACCTTGGACAGATGCCTCCATCTGGTGGCATTCACTATACAGAACCTTTGTGGGTTCCAGTCTCATCTGCTAACCAGGCAAATCCCCACATGATTCCAAATTCAAGTCAGTGTTTTAACCAATATCCAGTAGGCTCGTTCAGTGGCCTTCCTGGTTTTCATCATGTTTCAACTGTAACTGGAAGTCTCCTCCAAGTGGCCCATGGGCCATCTCCTCAATTATCTGCATCAGTAGGAACTCCTGGGTATTACTTGCAGCCTGATGTAACACCCCATCTTCAAACTGGTATGAGATTTGTATATGAGACCCAGCTGCCACATGATGGCACAGTTTGCCCCACTCCACAACCATCGACTCCAGTGCACTCTGCAGGACCGGCAAGTCCATCAGATCACCTTCTTGCAGGTCAAAATGAAAAACATCATAGCAGAACAGGAGAGCAGGGAGAGGAGAGCTGAACATATTGACTTCTACAAAATTTGATGTAAATCTTGAAAACATTTGAAATATGACTGCCTGAGTAAAGAGTTATGTAGTTAATGTCTTTCAAAATTATCAGTTTTGAAGTTCTGCCATATTATATGTTACAGATATTTTTTTCAACACTGTTCATTTTTATCTGAAATATAATTGTGTAACACTTCCTTTAAATTAATTTCTGTCATGTGACTACCTGCAGAACAAGGTGCTGGAATGAGTATTGGTCTCAGGGTGAAGTGTAGTATTTTTAGATCATTATAATCATCATAAATGTTTAGTTTGTATGTTATGGCAGTCATTAGGACAGCAAGTGATATTGTAAATAACAGATTTGAAAAGTTCAATAAATAAACATGTAGAAGCAGAAAGTAATTAGCTTGCTGAATATACTTTTTAATATAAATTTTGAAAAATGCCATTATGGTATTAATATATTCCAATAGAAATGTAAGAATGTTAACAAATATACATCTAGACCTGCTTTGTGAAAATTTAAAAATTGAAGTTGAACATAGAAAAACTTTAAAATGAATGATACTCAAGTAGCATGGTTTATATAAAGTAATTGATATTACACTGAAAGAATTTTTGCGGTATAACATCAGTTTTCAAACAATATATCACTGATAAGCTTAAATAACAGGCGAATTTGTTGCACATATATGATCAATACATATGTTTTAACATCAACATACATTTATATAGTAAAAGATCAAAGACTGGTTATTTTAGGTACCAGATTAATGAAATATGAATGTGAGTCTTTCATCTCTTTCAGCACTCTTGAGATTGTAACTGCTTTAATAGTAGGAAGAACTATTCAGCAACATCTATGTTAAGAATATGTCTCATACTGTGAAATTTTGTTTGTAATTAAATTCAGTTAAATGGAAAAATGTAAGTGCTTTTATTATTATTCTGCACTACAATTGCTTATTGTATCAAATCAGCTTATGACTTAATACATAATAACAGCTTTGTAGCTGCCTTTATAATTTTTCAGTTCTTTCTTTTATCTCTCTCTCTCTTTCTCTTTACCATATTGGTGGCATTTATATCACAGTAACAGTAGAACAGGAATAAAAAGTAAGACTGAATTGCCAGTCATTTTAAATATATTGAAATTGTAGGTGTGATACTGATGTGTTCCCAAACAATGAATAGGATCTGGATAAAATTAAATGGTGATGGTTGCCTATAAGAAATTGTATATGCTGCATAAGCACAATAAAATTATTTATTTCAAATGCTCTATTCATCAAAACTGAAGAATTTGTAATTTTAAGGGTTTAAACAGTACTACCACAGAGAGATGGATGAGTGTTCACAGATTTAATTGAAAGTAATTTGTAAATTTAAAAATATCTTGTACTGTTAGTAATAAAAGAACTGAATTTATTGTGTATCTAATCATTCATAATGTTTTTGTTCCTGTAGTGGAAGAGCTGGATTCAGTGGTATGTGTAGAGTAGCAGGAAGTTACATACTTATGTGCTGTTACATGTTTTTATTCATAATCAAGGTAGGTATAATTGTCATATTATGTCTATGCTGGATGAGATTTAATTACATGCCATAAATATAAACATTGTGTTTCACACACACATATGGTCAAACAGAAACGTTCATATAAATATGTGGTCACAATCACTTCATTGATGAGATGTGGTAACTATGAGGCAGCACTGCAAAACCAGCACACACAGACTGATGAAAATCCAAGTTCCTTTCAGGAAACATGTTTCCATCGTCAGTGTAATAAATGTTCGGTTAGAATAATTGGTGATCTTATCTTAGGTCCATATGAGCTACCATCTTGACCCTCATTGGCCTCCTGTTTGCAATCTCTGGCTGAACATTTATTGAACTACTGGATGTTGTACCATTGGCAGCACAGCCGGCAACCAGTACCCAAGTCAGTGGATTAGGTGAAATGAACCAGTTGTGTTACCTCCTAGATAGCCCACTCTCTCTCTTACCAACTTCTACTTGTGATGCTATATGAAGAGCATTGTTTTTGCCCAACAGTGTAAAGTGCAGGATGAGCTCTGGAATGCCGCCAAAGTAGCTGTGGCAACAATACACAGCATGGCTGAAGTTTTTCAGTGAACCACGAATTCTTGGCACAACACGGCTCAGTTGCACATTTACTGTACTAGTGACCATTTCAACATTTTCTGGAAACCATTAGTAACTGACTAGATGCTATTCTGTTCACAGCTAATAAGCTCTTTATTCACAGTCACATTATTTATCTACTTTTCTTCTCTTATGCTTCCTGTTTCTAATTGTATATCTTGGTAAAGAAGCAGTTGTAACCATATATATACATGATCATATCTGCTTGCTGTAAGTGTACAACACAGTGCTTACATTTAAGGTATGGTATTACACCTGTGTATGGCAGGTATATATTTCAACTAGTAGTCACAGTACAGTGAAAGGCCAATGGTACAATAATGTCTCTAACAAGAAGTCCACCCATTATTCAATTTAGTAATGTTAAAAATAGGGCAAATGTTATACTAGAATTTTCTGTTTTTCAAAAACATGCAAAAATCAGTTCATGATAATATACACGTAAATCTCAGTAAAGTACGTGACTTTCATATGTAACTTTTTCCCATAAAGTGAATATTTAATTAAATACAAGAAAAATGAATTTCTGACTATGCAATGATATCTGTAGTGTGATTAGATTTGAAACAGGAAATTTGTATCCACAAGGCCAGTGAGGTATGCAGAATCATGACTTCTGCATTTGCAGTGTGTGCTCCCTTAGAGTATACCTTTCCACAGATTTTCATTATAATTAGTGCTCACATCATTGGATGTTCTCAACTGACCTAATCCTTCTACCCACACTATGGCCCTGGGGCTGACTCAGTCTCTAACATAAATGAGTACCAGGAATCTTCCTGGAGGTAAAGAGCAGCCAGTGCATAAGGCTGACAACCTCACTGCCATCTGTGAGCTGATTGTCTAGAAATGTGTGGGCCTGGACATCTGACAACTCTGTGGGTCTTCATGGTCTGTTACAGGGACAGCTTTACCTTTACAGCTCACACATGTAACGATATAATCTTTCCTGTACCTTTTCAATTGATCATCTCATCATCTAGGTGCTCTCTCTTCCTTTCCTGAAGATTACAGAGAGGAACTGGAGAAAGTGAGTGTGACTAATAGATCTAAGCATTCAGAATTACTGGGTTTTGGACTTTGTCCATCATTCAGTATTCTAGAAACTAGAGAACACAATGTTTTGGGAACTGGCTGTGGTCACTGACTGAGGTTAGCACTTTCTAAGGGACCCAACAGACTACATGTCTCTGCCTCACCTGAGAATGGTAGCAGATCCAGTTTCTGAAACTTTGTGTTCTATAGTTTTTAGAATACCAGACAAAGATGAAGTCCAAAAACCTGGTAATTCTGAGTGCTATACGTCGTCAGAACATTTTAAAATCTACTAGATCTAAGCGTGTTGACTTCCATTTGCATATTGGTTCTGTTATGGAATAGCAGACATTTTTTGTACACATGTCTTCCCACAATGCCTACTATTTTAATACAGTAATTTCCCCATTATCCGACATCTGGGGAATGGGATGTATCTATTTACATGAACCTGCCAGCTGCATGAGAACACCTCTACAGAAACTCAATTCAGAATCATAACAATGCATATTTGCATTATTTCACAGAAGGCTTTATAGGAAACATAGTGGATTGATGGATGAAAGATTTTGCATACATATGAGGGTTGGAACTTTAATAGTGGCAACACTGCTGTAGAGACGCCATACAATGGAACCAAATAATGTCGCTTATACCACAAGTTAGTTACATACCTACCTTACCTCAGAGCAAATGGACTCTTCCTTCCCACATCACGCGCATGCGCAGTGACGAGAAGAACAGAGCCATGTGTTAGCTGGCGGTCTAATGTAATGTTGTCATGATATTTCCAAAACAGGAACAATGGAGTTTGGATAAAGATTGAATGTGCCAGAGGCTGTACAGCATGACAGTGTCATCAAGGTCTTAAGAGGCTTGCGAGGAATCTGCATTGCCTTAAGAACAGTGGCAAGGTGGGTAAAAGCCTTCAATGAGGGACACCAAAATGTGGCAGACGTGCGTTGGCCAGGTCGTCCTAGTGTCAGTGAAGAAGTGTATGCTCTTTCAGCGTTACTGGAGAGTGATTGATGCCATACGATTTGTGAGCTGGCCCGAGAGACAGGATTAGCGCATATGACTGTGCTTCACATTCTGAAGGAACACCTGGGCATGAGAAAAATTGCATCACAATGGGTTCTGCAGAAATGGCTACAATATGACGCTGCTCATAACCACTTGGAGCGCAAAGGACAGACTTTCTTACACCGTATCATTACGCTGGATGAGACATGGGCCAAATCGTATGAGCCACAAATGAAACACCAGTCGAACAAATGGTGTCCTTATGGGTCACCACGAAAATCAAAAGTTTGTCAGAACCCCAGCAATGTGAAAGTTATGGTGATTCTCATGTACGAATATGATGGTGTTATCCTAACACATACCATTCCCTGACAGCAGACCATCAATGCACAGTATTACTGTTCATTTTTGGAACACAACCTGTGACCACCTTTGAGAAACCCACCCATCATTTTGCAGGACCATGCTTGGCCGCATGCAGTGCATGCTGTAGCTAATTTGTTCGATCGATGGGGCTGGGAAGTGCTGTACCATCCACCATACTCCCTGGACTTAAGCCCTTGTGACTTTGACTTGATTCCTAAGATGAAGGAACCACTTTATGGCATTCGCTTCAGAACTGTTCCAGAGATTCTTCAGGCAGTAGACCACTCTATTCGAACTATCAACACAATAGATGCTGCTAAAGGTATCCTTCAACTTCCACTTCACTGGCAACGGGTTGTACCCAATGCTGGTGACAACATTGAAGTACAGTAAAACTTTGAAACATGCATCTATTTTGTATCAGTTGTAAATAAATAGTTGCCACTATTAAAGTTTCAACCATCCTATACTGTAAAGCAACCACAAATTTAGCTGGCCTCTACTGTAATGGTATTGCATGAGGGAGGACAGTGGACAGTGCTGCTAATGTAGTTGGGGAGAACTACTATATGGGGTGTTGACATACATGCATTGCAGATTTGTTTTTGAATAACTAAAACACAAAATTCTTCCTGGTTAGATGAGAATTCTGAATGATTGGATACAGGATTGCAAGGAGTTTATTATAGTTTCATCAGAAAATTCATGGGGGTACAGAAGTTCTGAGAGCTGTAGTAAATGTAAAATTGGGAGACAGCTTCAGGACAAATTACAAGCTGGTCAGCATAGTGATGCATTTATTATTCCTTGTTTATATAAATGATTTAGTATGTGCAAAGTAAAGCTGTTGTTGAAGAGTTCTACCTTGTGGAATGTAATACCATGTAGGCTACTGAAAGCCAGTGTTTTAGAGGAACATAATTGCCACCATCTTCAGGGTTGAAGAGTAAACTAAACAAGAAACCTGCAGGCAGCCAGCATAGAGAGATGTGGTTCAGTTCAATTTGGGTGAATTGCTGCTGACTCATCAATGACAGTCATTGTTGTCTCTGGGTTTTATGGGAATCATGACCCAATTTTTCTGCTGCACAACTCTGGGAATAGTGCACCACTAACCTCTTTGAGCCCCAGTCAGTCAGGTAAATAGGCGCTGGTTCTTGCCAGCACAGTCATTCTTGGTTCCAAGCCCCACAATACATATGACCATATTTACCATTGGACATCACATGCCTCAAGCCCTAGAATGGGAAGAATGGGCTTATATTGAAGATGAATTTGACAAGCCAACCCCTCAGTTCCCATTAGTTTTCTAGAGAAAGAGTCCACCAGTGGGAAAATGAGAGAATATTGATTGCTGGGCCCTGAAAAGGTCATCTGGTTCAGACATGGGAACGCAGGAGAAGAGAACTCGGTGATAAGAGCAGGAATGAGGGGGAAGCCAGGAAAGAAAAGACTCAGGATTGATGGGTGCCCTGAGAGGGCAGAGTCAGTGTTCTGATAAAAGTAGTGAGCCCAGCCCAGTGAAAAACCAACAGAGAAACCCGTGAAGGAGGCTGCTTATGATCTTCCAGAGAGCAGATGAGAAGCATCCATTTCTTGCTTTGACAGAAGCCATCTTCCCTGTTCACATTGTTTGATTGGAACTCGACTGTCTCCCTGATTATACAATTAATGTATTTGGGCTTGGTGGAGAGGATTCTGGCATTATGGAGCAGGATGCAGTGTCCCAGGTTAAGGTTGTGCACTGCCATGACTGACTTGTCTGGATGATTTAGCCATATGTGATGTATACTGATGGTGCCTCTTCAATGGAGTATTGAACAAACAGCCTGTCTCCAATGTAGACCTGGCTACACTCACACAGGATGCTGTCTGCTCAATCTTCAGTTCCAGGTCATCCTTGACCAGCTGAAGGAAACCAGAAATCTTCCTCAGCAGGACAACTGACTTGACGTTTTGCCAGGACAGCACTCTGCTAATGTGGTTCAAGGTTGACCTGATATAAGACTGGAAGGCTGCTGAATCCAATTTTTTTCTGGGTGGATCAACACACACTGGGTTGATAAAACTGCAGGTTATAACCATTCTGCCTGAAAATGTCCCTCAGGAACTTCATCATGAAGGGAGTTGAGATAGAGGTTAGTTTGGATAGGTTTAGGATACACCTCATAGCCCAGTAAGCCACTTGCTGTGCTGTAAATATGAATGTATATGAATGAAGAGAAGGTGGCCTCCTCCACGGTGAATTGAATGGTGGACACTATTCAGGTGTTTGGGGAAGACACTTAGCCTGTTGAGACCATGGACCACATGGCTTGCATGTTATTACATTACATTGCATTCGATGGATCCAAAGTTAGTCAAAATGACAGTAGGATGTGGAATATGTCATATAAATACAAAACATATGTACAGTCCCAATGGAGTTCTCACACAAGAGAAACCAAGAATACATAGTGACAACACACAAGGCTATTTAAAGATACATAAGTTATTTTCTAGACAATAGGTATTCATCAACAGAGTAGAATGAATGTGTATTTAAGTATCGTTTCAGTGCTATTTTAAATCGTGCCTTTTCATTCATAATACCTTTGAGATCAGATGGCAGGTTATTAAAAATGTTGATCCCAGCATAATGTGTGCTTTTCTGAAAGCATGAGAGGTTAGCAATTGGTTTACGAAGACAGTGGGTCTTGTGTTAACACTGTACATCCGCATTCGTCTGAAAGTGTTCATCGTTATTTGTAATGAAGTTTATTTACAAATATATATATTCACAAGGAAAAGTTAAGATCTGTAGTCTCTTAAATAAATCTCTGCAGGAATTACGGGATTTGACACCCATCATGATTCTAACAATTTTCTTTTGCAATGTAAATACCTTTTTACTGTCAGATGAATTACCCCAGAAAATTATTCCATACTTCATTAAAGAGTGAAAGTAAGCAAAGTAGGTTGAGCTGAGAGTGTCAATGTTACTAATATGTAACATGAATCTAACTGCAAAGCATGCTCTACTTAGCTATGGAATCAACTGATTGATATGGTTTTTTCAGTTTAAATAATTATCAATCTGCAAGCCAAGGAATTTTGTGTTTACTCCCTCTTCTATATATTTATCATTATATCATATGTTTAATGCATATTGTGGTGAGTTTTTTTTTTTTTGTTATAAATTTTATTACATTGGTTTTTCTAGATTCAGGGACAGCTTGTTTGCAGAAAACCATTTACTCATTTTCAAAAGAACCTTGCTTGATAATGTGCAGAAATCATCTAAATATTTACCAAAAATTATAACTAGTGTCATCTGCAAATATTATAGGTATTGATGAGGTCCTTAGTGTAGGAGGGAGGTCGTTTATATAAATTATGAAAAGCAAAGGCACCAAAATTGACCCCTGCAGAACTCCATGTTTTATTATTCCCCAGTTTGAGTAGGTACTTTGCGTTGAATTGCATGATTATATTTCAATATTTAGTTTTCTATCTGTTAGGTAGGATCTGAACCAACTTAACGTTGTTCCTTTAATGCCCCAAAAAATGTAATTTAGTTAATAAAATTTCACGATTTACACAATTGGGGATCTGGTGTTCTCAAACCTTACATGGCTTTCACACCGAACGGTCTGAAGCGGTCTGAAGGATATAAATTTCTCATACGCCGTTGTTGGCCTCGTTGGTTGCCCTTTATAACTTTGGCACGGGTTTGGGGCAACAATTGATTGATTTAGTAATTCGTGATGAGTGGCGATCAGTGGTACGAGTAGTGTTCTTTCATAATCACAGGTTTACTTGCGACGGTTCATTAAAAATTACAGTCGCCACTGACGTCGTTGGTCGTCACGGTCGTCACGGAGTGGTTACTGTGGTCACTGTCGTCACAGCATTCGAATGGTGTGTTCCCATAAATTGAAGTCGTTGATGTGTTTGGTTAAAAGCTTTAAAAGTGAGCTACGTGTGTAGGCTTAAGGGGCGTGAAAATCGCTGGCAGTCGATTAAGTAAACTGTGCTTCATCATTGGGAACGATTGGGAACATTGGGAAGACTGTAGTAGCCGGTAGTCGATGTTGGTCGATGTTACAGGTTAGTTGGTATATGAATCAAAACGTGTAAGGTAGTGAGTGAGATGAGATGATGTTACGGCATGATCGCTACGATAGAAGTTTTCTGGAATATGATGCCGCGTAAACTGGTAATTTTTTATGAACGATTCTAAACTACGTGGTATTTATCCCAGAAGACCGTAATCTTAAATGGTAACAAGATTGCAAAATGTGAACAAAAATTATGTTTCTGTTATCGCTGAGAATAGCACGAATGTTCATATTTCTTACGATCATTATGCAAAATTTTCATTATGGATTGCATGAATTCCAGAGTTCCTTGAAATTATTGAATATGTGTTTTAAGATTTGTGATCAGCTGAGGTAAAATATCCAAACAGCTTTCGGAATGAAATTTGGCGTTTCTTTACGTTTTATTGCACACATTTCTGACCTGATATTACTACATGGCAGATAACTTCTACTATACTGTGCCAAAAACATCATTGAGGGTGTCTCATCATCAGATATAAATTGTACAGTGTTAGAAATTTACTAGGTACAGTTTTGAACTTATGACAGGAGCCAGAATCTCTGTACCAGAGAGTTTATTCAACACACAGGATTTATGTTCTATGAACTGGCCACTGGAAGTATGATTTGCCATCAGAGATGTTTTGGACGAAGGATATGTCTAATGGGAACACTGAATGGCCTAGAAATCAGTCACAAATGTCAATTATTAATAATGCAACTTTAAAAACAAAGTAAGAACAGTTTTAAACAACATATTAACCATTACTGTTTAAAAATATCAGTATTTTAGCTTTATCTCCAGTTAAGCTTTTTAACGTTTTGTCAGCAATATGCCTGCTTTTGAAAAAATCCCATCACAAAGTACTGACCTATCTGAAGCACCAAACTAAAACTGTTTGTGTATCTCAGTGCTGAGTTAAGAGTAGTTAAAGTGGTGGTCTTTCTGGTGTTTAAATGGATGTTCATGTTTCGAAAGAACGCCTTCAAGCTAGTGATTGACCTGTATTATCACATAAGATGGTCTATATCTGTTTCATTGCATGCAGACTTTCTTTTGTCAGATGCATTCCATGCAGACAATTCGTCATCCTTGTTACTTGTAGTTGCTTGTATTGCTTCAGATGCAAGCATGTTCTCAGCAGTTGTTAATAAGTGTAATACCACCAGTGCTATAATGACCTTAATATCCTCTGATACTTGGTGATCAGAGAAAGCCACGGTTTTAGATCTCGGATCAGTAAGTCTTCAGACTATTAGAGTAGCTAAACACACTTTGAGTTCCTTACTTTGCTGGTCTTTGTATGGATTTCACATTCTTTGTACATGGATGGAATCATGGATTTTTAAGATGAATACCTACTGGAATAGCTAGTAAGTATTCCAAGTAGCCACAATTCTGTGAAACCTTTGCCCTTAGCTATTCTAAACAGTCTTCTCAGTTATAATGTCATGTAGTTCAGAGACTGCCCAGTGTTTTGGAGTAACATTACTTCCATCTTCAGAGGTGAAAAGTAAGCCAACCAGGAAGTACACGGGTCCAAATACCCGGTGGAGGTCGTCAAATTTTTAAGGGCAGAAAAATTCAGGGAACAAGTCCTCCGGGAGGGACTTTAAGCCATGGGTCCCGTGTCGTAGCTTTACGGCACGTAAAAGAACCTCATATCTCCAAAGGAGGTCACTGAGCCAAATTAACGGACATTTCCCGCCCAACAGCAGTCTCTAATACCTCTGGTAGATGGGGGAAGCATTATAGATACTTCTCAGCTAGTAGAGCCGGTCTCGCTGGCTGGGCGGGACTGATGGTAAGCACCAGTACCGGTAGGATATAGAGACTGGTAGAAATCATAGAGGGAAGCACAATGGACCAATACAGGTCTCAGTGCATGGGGAAACCCACCCTCTCCAATAACTAACTCAATAACTAACTAAGCCAACCAGGAAACAGACAGAAGCACTCAGCAGGCTGGATTAACTGTCAGTAGTTGGAGTAAGTCATGGGGAGAGCCGTGCCATAGCTCAAGCAGTTAGTCGCTGGCTTTCCACCGTGGCGGCCCGGGTTCAATCCCAGATCTGGTCAAGTGGAATTTGTGGTGGACAAAGTGGCCCTGGGGCGGGTTTTCTCTGAGTACTTTGGTTTCCCCTGCCAATCTTCATTCCACCAATTGCTCGACAATCACCCTCACCTATCACCTGGGGCTGGTACAATAGGCCAGAAGTGGCCGCAATACAAGGGACTTAGTCCCACCCCACTAGCATTAAAAAAAGTCATGGGATCTCTTCACACCATTTCCAACAAACTGAATTAAGTTCCAACTATACTGCCTTCTTTTTTCCTTGGCACTACAGCCCCAGTGGGCCTAGGCCTACAACCATGAACTTCTCTGTTCACTTCGGCTTTTCTAGATCTTGCACATTCAGTAGGACTCCTTGGGCGGGTGATCGGCTCGTTGCAAGGCCTCTGCCTGTACACAAACACAGAAAAATGCACACACACAAACTAAACATCCATGCCCTGAGTGGAATTCGAACCCAAGATCACGGTTTCCAAGCAAGCGAAGACAGTACATGCCATACTGCCATTAGTTTTCATAATTTTTATTTTGCTAATAGATATTCATAAAGAGAAAGGCTTTTTCCTGAAGTTTCATTTTTTATTATTAATAAATCTCTAGATATTCATTAATGAAAATAGGTGGGTTCTAGCATGCATTAGGCCATGTTTTCTCAAATATATAAATATCTCCTGTACTTAGAAACTCAGAAATGGACATTTCTAGCTTCTCAAGGTTTCTAGTCCATGTAGTCTGGCATTTTATTGCTTTGAAGTCACTACTGTTTATATTGACAGCAGTGATTGGATGTGATGTCAGTGATGTCAGCAGCTTTTGTTGCATATGTCTGTGGTAATTTCGTGTGTTTCACATTGTCACTTAATTTTTATAAATGAAGTTATTTTTCTAGTAAGTGATGCTGTCTGCTTTATATGTATGATCCTCAGATGCTCAAGCATTCCAGGTGAGCATTTATTTTTCAGTAAAGCATCATGAGACACATCAAGTTTACAAATGTCTGTCTGTTTCAGATGCCTGTTGTGGATGAGAAGTAACAAAACTTTCATCTGAAAAACTTACTTGGCATGCCATTTGTAAGCCCTTCTCAGAAGAACATTTTGTTAAGAAACTAAAAGATAATAGGAAATATATACGCTGGATCTATATTTATGACACTTACAGTTATATTTTCAGCCTTAGAGTTTTCACTTTCTTTTTGTCTAATCATGTTTGTCCAGCCAAGGGTCTAGGAATTTTCATTCTGTTTCCTCATTATTTTTTCTTTTTATTTATTTTTATTTAATTGTGCATATGTAGCTAAAGGCCTTGAAATTCTCATTTCTTCCACTTGTATTTTCTTTTGTCTCTGTAACCACAAAGTCTGTATCCTAAGGTTTGAGTAAGTCATATCTTTACAAGTAATTTTGAGTGTTAATAGTAATTAATTTTAATGAAAAACTGTTAGCTGTCTCATTTCTTCCTTCTCACATCAAACTCTGGCAGATATGCTGCTTAAAATTTGAAAATGGAGAACACAAAAAAAATTCTGAAATCAAATGCATCTTCAGAGCAGTGGAATCATCTGTATCAAGCTGCACAGTTGTCTATATACAAGCACATACAAAACAGGAAACGAAACTTGACTGAAAATTCTGTATCTGATTATTATACATATATTTCGGTAAATGTGGCAAAGAAATCCTTATTTAAAATTGAGCCCCAAGTGAAGCGGTATGTATGTAAAGGTTGTGAAGGACTGCTACTTCCTGGAGTTACTGCACGAGTTCGTATTCTGAAGAAACCAGCCAGTGTTATTGAATGGAGATGTTTAAAGTGTCAGACATGCAAGAAATATCCTTCCATTCGACATTATTCAGCTTGGTTTGAAAATTCTGCACTGAAGTGCAAAAATATTGAAGCCCAGAAAAATGGACAAAAGATTGCTAGTGATTATAGTGTTAAGATAAAAGTTGTTGATGATTTGAGACTTGAGAAAAAGTGTGTCAGTAATGTTGGAAAGAATATGGCTGAGCACATGATACAGTAACTGACAGACATTGAGGCTTACCCGATACAGCATATGGTAGGTAAATGGGCAGTGTCCTAGTGTTTGCATTAGCATTAACTGATGGCTTCTCTATTGGAGATGTAGTGTGTTTTCTGTGACATAGGAACTTAATTTTTAAATATTACATAAGTGAATTTCAAAGGATTAATGTAACCGATCCTTGTCATTGTAATAGTCCAACTAAATATGTTTGCAATTCTTGCAGTCGGGCAATCAGTCTTAGTGTTTAAGATTAAGTGCAGAGTATATATAATACTTCTTTTTTTTTTTAATTACATTTTATTTGTGTTTCAGCTATATCAGAATGTCAGTATTAGAACAGAGTATTTTGAAGTCATTCACACTTTTATCAACAGATGCCAAAGGTAATTTTCCTTGTTACAGTTTATTAAGTGATTGAACTGCTTGCAGAAACATGCTCAATGAGATCTTTTGCAGTATCCACAAACATGCTGTTACATTCTTCATTAATTCCTTGCTTCATGTGAAGTTAGTGATGCAAACAGGTTTTCAGGTTTCATTCATCACATTTTCTCCTCTGGATAACAAGTGTATAATGTTATTTCTAAAATTATGACATATCAGTGTATTGTTGACTACATCACATGATTTCTCTCTCATTCAGAACTGTACTTAAGGTCAGCTGTCCCAGTTTTGGATAGTCCTGTATCACCATTGGAATTTTACCGAGATTGGGTTGCCACTAACCTACCTGTCCTCATTAAAGGTGCTGTGAATGATTGGCCAGCAGTTGGGAAATGGAATGTGCAGTTCTTGAGGTACATTTCATATATCTGTGTTAATTGAATGGAGTAGGAGCCATACCTCTAGATATACCTAAATGAACAGATATGTCTAGAAAAGTGAAAAAATGAGAAACTGAAAGTGGATGGAAGAGTATTCATCACTGCTATCTTATGCACTTTATATTTTGCCTACTGTTAAAGAAATTTAAAATTTTACTGGCCCTTGTATGGCCTATTTTACAATCAGTTTCCAACTGAATATTTGTCTTAGTTTCTGTTTACATCCTTACATGCTTTCATTACACTATTATACAGTGTGATGAGTGTTTTATTTTGATCTATTAAATACAGAGTTTAGTAGGTATATTCAAATTTACTTTTATCCACGCAGAAAGAGCTGTAGCTACTGAAACACCTTTAAACCCATGCTCACATAAGACACTATGTTATATAACAACACATTAACATGGTCTTGTTTAAAAACAGTCTGTCATCACTAATGGGAAATAAGTTTTCTCATCAGGTCAGTGCATTCCCTGACTGACTGACTAACTAACTAATTTCATGGAGCTGGGCTCTTCTTGAGAAGCCACCAATTGTGCAGCTGCTCAAGAATTTCCCAACATTTTATGGAACCTGAAGGTTCAGTACCACATTCACAATAGCCCTCCATTGGTCCCTATCCTGAGCCAGATCAATCCAGTCCATACCACCCCATCCTATCTCTCTAAGATCTCTTTTAATATTGTCATGTGTTGGGTGTATGTCACGCGACAAATAACTTCACACTGTTTTGGATCTAGCAAATTTATTGAACACTTGCTCTCACAATTACACCACTACTGCCATTTGCAGTATCACAAATATTTCTCCTGTAGTCATTTCCATTCACTCGATACAACTCGACTCGGCGACTGCTAGACTGCAACTGACTGGTTACTCCGGTAATCCTCTCATTATGTAGCTTCTGCACTGACAACACAGAAAACAGTTACGTGATAGCTATCACTGTTGCATAACATCATGTTTTCAGGCGTTGCTGGGGAATGCTGCCGAGAGTTGTTTATTGCTGTGTAGTAACCGCGGTGTCCCCTGTTACGTCACCATGGTGGAGGGGGACGGAGAGTTGACTGGCCTGTTACCGTAGCAGTGGCAGTTGCTTCGATGCTGTGACATCACCACTGGAAAGGGGGGGTGTCCTGCATAGCGAAAATACGTCACAATATTATCCACCCACCTACATCTTGGTCTTACCACTGGTCGCTTTCCTCCTGGCCTTCCCACCAATATCCTATGTACATTCCTCTTCTCCCATATTCGTGATACATGCATTGTTAATCTAATCCTCCTTCACATGATCATTCTAATTTGCTTAGCAAAGACTACAAGTTATGAAGCTCCTCGTTATGGATCAGTTCTGCCGGAATTTGATCACTGCCTGGCGATTTATACCTTTTCAACTTTGCAGTAACAGTTTCAACCTTAAAAGGACTAGAATCAAACACTAATGATGTATGTATTTCTATCTGCCTAACATCAATAACCCTAAGTACATTCAATAAAAGAGAAGTGTTTCTTCCACCTATTCAAAATGTGGGAATCTGCAAGCAGATAACCATTCTCATCCTTCACATAGTTACTTCTCCATTGGTAACCCCTTTTAAATTTATTTATTCCTGTGTACAGGTCTCTAATGGACTTCTTGTTACTGTTTGTTGCAAACTGATCAGTGTTTTCTTTCAGATATTCCATTTTTATTCCTGAAATGCCTGCTGGTTTCAGGTCTTATATTGTTCAGATTCTCCCCCATTTATTTTGCTTGGATCCTGTAACCACTGCAATAAATTTATGAATCAGATTTGAAAATGTGAACTTGAACTGAACTTGCTTGAAGTTTGCATTCACTTTGAACTGTTGACACATCCCTGGTCATTAGTAGAATGCCATGTATTTAATCTTGGTTAGAAGAATGAAACTAATCACATTTTAATGCCTACTAACAGATATAATAACTATGGGAAATAACAACAGTATATTTATAACAGGAATTACCTGGGTGAGAAACTAGTAATGGTTGCTGTAACACCAAATGGCTATGCTGATGCTATCACCAAAGGCAATATGGAACAGTTGTCAGAATATTTTGTGACTCCAGAAGAGAGGGTTATGCCTATGTCAGAGTTTCTGAATGCTCTTGAAAATAGGGATCAATATCCTGGGGTGTTTTATATCCAGCGTCAGAATTCAAACCTGACAGAAGATTTCCCAGAATTGGTTCCAGATGTGGGAAGAGATGTTCCATGGGCCACAGAGGCTTTTGGTCATGAACCTGAAGCTGCTAATATATGGATTGGTGATAAACGTGCCATCACATCAAGTGAGTAACTCAGTTCTTTGTTGTCCAGTATAATAAACTGACAGTGGTGATGTATGTGGCATGTGTTAGAATCTAGACAGGAAAAATAACTGTTGACTGGGGTTTTCATGTTTTTCTTTGTTCCTACAGGATAGAACCTTCAACCAGATCATGAACATTTACTACTTACTCAGTATTCATGATCATTTTCACATCATTTGATATTCTCTAAACTCTGCAACTGAATTAGTGATACTTTAGACAGAGTTCACTACTTATAGGTGAGATGATTTTCTGTCATCCACAATTTTTATTCCTTTGGGAAATAAGGTAATTGAAATCTTCAGGATATAAATCTACTGAGAGGTAGACAGCTGTGTTTGTACAGATGCATTATCATGATAGAGGAGTCATTCATTCAATTTGTGTGTATGTTTCATATAGTCAACTTGTACAGCGAATTGGATGGGCTCGGAGACTTCAAGTTAGGAGGGCAAATTTTTCAAACTGTGAAATATGCAGATGACCTAGTGTTAATGGCGAAGGAAGACTGTGCTACAGGGCATGATTGATAGACTAATTGAACTTGGAAGGTGCTATGGCATGGAAATGAATGTGGAGAAAACAAAAGTAATGAAAATTTTGAGACAACCAACCCCAGTCACAATAAAGATAGACCAAAAACAACTGGAGAATGTGAAATGTTTTAAATATTTGGGTAGCTTGTTAACAGATGATGCAAGGTGTACTAGTGAAATTAAATCCAAGATTGCCATGGCAAAAGCCGCATTTAGCAAGAAGAAGAATCTTTTTACCAGCAAATTGGACTTAAATTTGAGGAAGAAACTAGTGAAATGCTACATTTGGAGCATAGCTCTGTATGGGGCTGAAACATGGACACTTAGGGCAGTAGATCAGAAACACCTTCAAAGCTTCAAAGTGTGGTGTTGGAGAAGGATGGAGAAGATCAGTTGGACTGATTATGTGAGAAATGAAGAAGTGCTAATTAGAGTCAGTGAGCAGAGGAATATCCTAAACGAAATAAGAAAATGGAAGGCTAATTGGATTGGTCATGTTTTATGCAGAAACTGCCTTCTAAAAGAAGTTATTGAAGGAAAGATAGAGGGGCGGCTAGAAGTAACAAGAAGACGTAAGAAGATGCTGGATGACCTTGGGGTCAAGAGGATACTGTCATTTGAAGGAGAAAGCTCTAGATCGCATTAAGTGGAGGAATTGTTTTGGAAGAGACTGTGGACCTGTCGTCTGACAGATTACTGATGATGATGATGATGTTTCATATAGACACCAGAATTGCAGTACAGTAAATTTGATTCATTTTCATAAAAAAAAAAATAAATGGCACATAACATTTTTTCTTAAAGATCTGGAACCACTCAGATATTGAAAAACTCAACAATATCACTAGATCCATAAAAGCAGTTTTTGTTGTGCTGTATCTTTAAAAGTACCTGTTTTTTTTTTTTTGTTTTTTTGTTTTTTTTTTTGTTTTTTTTTTTTTTGTTGTTTTAGGGTAAAACTATTCACGCATGTTCATTTCTGCCACATACTTGATACACAAGTGATTTTGACCACTTGCCACTTCTGATTTATTAGGGGCAGTCAAATGAAAAGGGGTCAGAAGCCAAAACATATTAAAGAACATTTCTTACCTCAAAAGTGATCTCCAAAATTGTTACTACATTTATCCCACTGGGAGATAAGACAGTCAATCCCATCCTTGAAAAAGCTTGTAGGCTGTCTATAGAACCACGTCTTTACCCAGTCACACACATCTTCGTCTGATGCAAACCAATGTCCACGAATGTCTTTCTTCAGGTCTCCAAAAATGTGAAAATCACATGGGGAGAGATCTGGGCTATAGGAGGGATGTTGAAGCACTTCCCAGCCAAATCTCTGTAGTGTATTCCTCACAGAGTTGGCAGTGTGGGGTCGCGTGTTATCATGAAGGATAATGCCGTTTGACAGCATTCCAGGGCATTTTGACTTTATAGCAGGTCTCAGTTTCTGCAAAGTGTCTTCATAGCACTGTGCTGAAACGTGAAAAGGTCTTGAAGACCGAAATTTGGTTTTTGGATAGGATGTGCCAATTCAAAGACACTATAACAAATATCCATCCATCAGTAATCTGTCAGACGACAGGTCCACAGTCTCTTCCANAGGTAATAGGCCTCCGACAATCAACCAATCACAATCGTACAGACCAGGAGGAGAGTGAATTGACTGAACAGTTCAAGCTCCCACAACAGAATGGAACTCTCGCGGTGGACCTCAGCCGACGGGAACCAGGAAGTGGAACATTGGAAGGGGGAAGGTAGTAAGAAAGGGGGGGGGGACGCCCTCTGACGTAACGCAGACATGGCGTTACAGTGCACTGATTGTGACCCCATGCTCGAGAAATTCGACAAACAGAGAGCCCTTGCAGTCAAAGAAGGTCATCATCACTTTACCGGAACTTTTGTGTATGGCTTTGGATTTCTTCAGTGGGGGAGAATTCACATGTTTCAGCTATTGGCTCTGCCATTTGCTCTTGGGTTCAGAATGGTGGCACAAAGTTTCGTCCCCAGTGGCAGTATGGGACAGAAAAGCATACTCTTCCTCATGGTATCGTTGCAAGTGACCCAGTGATGCAGCCATCTCTGAGTCTTTTGTTCCTCTGTGAATTGATGTGGAACCTACTGCACACAGATTTTGCGGCACAGCAGGTGTTTTGTCACAATGGCGTGTACGGAACCGTGACTTATTCCCATCAGAAGACTAATTTCTTCACAGTGATCTGTCGGTTTGCCCGCATATGACCATCCAACACAGCAATAACATCAGGAGTGATGACACGATAAACCTGTCCTGGGCGAGCATCATCTTGCAGTGACAGACACGTCCGTCTTGGAATCTCTTATGCCATGCCAGCACACGTGAACATGACATGCTGTGTTTGCCGTAAACAACAGACATGCGACGATGAATTTCTCCTCCTACTCCTTCAGTAGTCAAAAAGCACACTACACTTCTGTTCTTCTTTTCCCGCCTCCATTACTGATGTTGGAAGAACACACATAGCGCTAACCTTACTTCCAGCACAATAAACAAACGACTAGTGTGCAAGGACACAATGTTACTGTGCTTTCTTGAGGCCCCACAAGATGTTCGTACCATAAGCCAATTCCAGTGTTACCAACTTGCGCGCCATGTGAGTTATGCGTGGTGACCCATTTTCATTTGACTGCCCCTTATAGAATTGTGCTTTCATTTTGCATGTGATACAGAATTTTTGGGTTTACTCCTACTGCTTTACTTAGCTGTATAATGCTTTCTTTTGATATGATCACATTCCAAGAGCTACACACATAGTATCATAGTCAATAAGTTCGTGGACTGGCCGCAAAATGTTGCAGTGCACTACAGTAGTTAGGTTAGGCACGATATGATGCCCTCTGAATTCATCTCTCGTTGCAGCAAGAGGCAGTTGTGTGAAAACAGTGTAAGCAGAACTATGGCCTCTAATATGAACTGCAGTTACATGCAAGTGGCAGAGATCGAAAATGTGGCAGTTTGAACAACGGGCAAACATCAAGTTCTGCCAAAAACTAGGAAAATCCCCTAGCAAAACGTTTAGCATATGAAGAATTGGTTGTTGCTACATGACAACACCCCTGCACATCGCTCTGTTCTTGTCCCAAGAGGAACTGGCAAGGCAACCAGTCAGCATTTTGCCACTACCTCCATACTCACCTCTTCTCGCACCATGTGATTTCTTTCTCTTTCACCGCTTCAGAGAAAACCTACATGGTCGTAGATATCAGTCGTCCGAGGTCATCCGTGCCACAAGAGACGCCGTACAGGAATTTCCTGCAAATATGTTTCAGCAGTGTTTTCAGCAGCTATATCGACATTGACAGACTTTCATAGTGGCCAATGGCGACTACTTTGAAGGCCGATATGGATCTGTGTAAATGTATGTGAATACTTTGTAATATGATGCAATAAAACCACAGTCCATGAACTTAATAACTGTACTATGTATGTATATATGTATATATATAGTATATCATGCATTTTAAACATGACATAAAATTTCAGTTTGTATGCTCTGTTTCAGTGCATAAGGATCCATTTGAAAACATTTACTGTGTCATCTCTGGCTACAAGGACTTCATTCTTCATCCTCCAACTGATCGACCATGGATTCCTTATAAAAAGTGTCCTCTTGCAAGCTATAAGGAGATATCCCCAGGCATATTTGATGTAGTACCTTGTGGTGCTGTCCATTGTAAAACTAGTAATGATTTGAAAGGTGTGAATCAGAAGCAGACTTATTCTGATGACTGTGTGAACAACACTGCAACAGCTAAGGATATGAAGACTTTATGTAATGACTCTGATGAAGTAACATGTGGTATAGCAGCTGAGGAGTTAAACTTGTTAAACAAGAATAGTGATATAGAATGTCATGATGGTAGTTTCAGTGATGGCTTTATAAATTTTCTTAGCAGATTGAAAGTAGATGATAATGTGAAAGTTCAGACTAAGGGTCTATATGAAATGTATGTTAATGAGCACAAAGTTGAAACTAGGAATCATGGAGGCCCATGTCATATGTGCCATAAACATGTTCACAAACGTGCATCAACTTTGTCTTATATTGACCATGATGATGATAAATCTCAGGGTATATCAAAAACGTCATCAGACATTTCAGATGCAAACACTGTCCCATGGATCTGTATTGATCCCTTATCACCTGACTATGCCTCATACCCATTATATAGAAATGCAACCCCTATCAAAGTTAGAGTTGAAGCAGGAGATGCACTATACTTACCATCTCTGTGGTTTCATCATGTTCAGCAATCACATGCTTGTATTGCAGTAAATTACTGGTATGACATGCAGTATGATCTGAAATATGCTTATTTTCAGTTTCTGGAATCACTTGTTGTGAAATGATGGTTGTGTTTGTTGTGATCAATTTTAAAGTTAATTTACTAGCTTTTTAGTGCCCTAAAAGACATTGTTTTCCACTTCATTTAATATTCACAGTTGACTGTATATGTGAAACCAAGGTGTTCAGATAATGTGCCTTGCAAATAAAATTGGAGAGGTTACCATCACACAAAAAATACTTTTATTTATTCCAGTCACGTTTTGGCCAAAATTAGCCTTCATCGGGTGACTCATGAGGATTATAAAAATGACATACATATAAAACTGCAGTGCTAGTATAAATTTGTTGCTTGAATTTGGTGGGATCTGACTTAATACTACATACTCATTACATTTTTTTATTAATTAATTAAAGACTGGGTAACCCAGAACTTAATTACAATTAAAACTAGTTGGATAACTAATGATTAATTTTTTTTCTAAACCTAATATACCACGTAAATTAAAACTAAGTCACTTCCACTGAATTACTTAGTACTTTAACATTTAACTAGTTTGAACGGTTTCTTCCATTTGAGTCGTCTAATGATATTCACATTGAGAAGTCTGGATACTTCAATGTTGACATGGTTTTGGAGTCTCTTTTCACGAGAGGTGGCGGACTTAGTGATGATATCTGTAACCATCTTGATCCCAAGGTCATGATGGAGGTCACTGTTATGAACGTACCGTGATGCGTTGACAATACACTTTAGCACTTTGTTCTGATAGTGTTAAATCACTTGAATATTGGATTCATTGGCGCAGCCCCAGAGCTGGATACCATAACTCCAAACTGGACATAGAGTTTGTTTGTATAATGTAAGTTTATTGTGGACTGATAGCTCAGAATTGAGTCCAAGCAACCAATACATTTTTCTGAACTTACTGTTGAGCTCATCACGTTTCTTCTTGATATGCTCTTTCCACCGTAACTTGGCTTCTAGAGTTATTCTAAGATATTTCGCTGTGTTGGAATATGGAACTTGAGTGCTATTGATGAAGATTGTTTGTTGTGTAATCCTCTTGTTTGTAAAGTCCGTATGTACTGATTTGAATTTGTTGAGTTTAATTCACCATTTTTTTATTTCATTTTAAAATTGAAAATAGACATACACATATTAAATTACAAAAATTAAAATAAAACTTTGTAAGCAGAATATCACTGTAAAAACTATGGGGATTTTCCAGGGGTTGGGGGGGCGGGGTGTTTAAGTTGCAGTGTATTATATCAAGATATGGGAGTGTATTTTTGGTGGAACCGGTGTTCTGTGTATAAGATACTTTTCTTGTTTGTGTTAGATATTCTGTTCATATTTATGTTGTTTTGTGATGTTTTTGGATAAATATACCCTGTTTAAATTTTCATTGACAGTTTCTTGCAGAGCTGTATTTCACACGTTTAAAAAAAAAAACATTGCTCTATAAAATATACCACACTGTGATATAACATGGGCACGTGGTAGTATAGTTGTTGTGTGTGTAAGGAGTGGGCCATAAAATCCAGCCCTTGCACTGTGACCTTCAGTGATCTATTGTACTTCCCCTTTGGATTAACCATTTATTAATCCTACACTTCGAATGAAATGTAGGACTTTATTTATGGGAGCGCCATAAAAGTCACTTGGTTCCATGAAGAACTGACCCAGGTGACGAAATCTTAGGTAAGCTGTGGCCTCACAATCACATAGGATATGTGTGGCTGATTCGTCTTCTTGTAAGCACCTTTCACAGACTGGGTCATCTGTCAGTCCCAGTTTCAAAAACTCTCCTTTTAGGTGGCAGTGTCCAGTAAGTAATCCTACCATCTTAATTGAGCTGTGTTCAATTTCAACAGGTCCTTCATTCTTCTGACAGAGGTCCTGATATAAATCCTTTTGCCTGTTTGAGTCCAGTTGTGGATTCCCAGTGTTTTTTTGTGATTTGTTAGTCCAGTCCCTGACCGCTTTCTTGGCAACTCCAATTGAGATGCCGCAAGCTGGTTCAGGTCCTATGAAAGGCTGTGGTTTCATTCCCAGCAATACCCTCATGGCCTGGCACTCATATCAGTTGTATGAGGTTTTGGTGGCAGTTGTAGACCAATTTTAAAGTGATTTGGTGTGTACCAAGTGCTTTAATTACATGATAGTATAGTTGGTTGAAGCACTATGCTACAAGCTGAAAAGTAAAAAGTAAAAAAGTAAAGCTATCCCTGTAACAGGCTGTGAAGGCCCATAGGGTTGTGAGACGTTGAGGGTCCCACATTATCTACACAATTGGCTGAAAGGTGGCAGTAAGGTTGTCAGCCTTATGCGCCGGCCACGCTTTACTCTCCAGGAAAATTATTTAATTCCTGGTACTCATTTCTGTTAGAGGCTGAGTCGGCCCCAGGGCTATAGTGCGGCTGGAAGGATTAGGTAATTTGAAAAATCCAGTGACCTCATCAGGACTTGAACCCACAACCTTCCGGCTTGTAGCATAGTGCCTCAGCCAACTATGCTACTGCATAGTTGGCTGAAAGGTTGCAGGATAAATTTGCAATGATTTCATTGGATTTTTCAATTGACTTAATCTTTCCAGCCTCACTACAGAGCCCTGGGGTCAACTCAGCCTCTAACAGAAATGAGTACCAGGAATCTGCAAAAGTCTGATGTGCTATGTAACATTTCATAACATAGTATTTTTAGTGCAGGAGTTCTTGAAGCTGGATTCTAAGGTCTGCTGACTGCATATTCACTATATTTGCAACTGCTTTCCATATCTCAATGTTGTCTCCATCTGCAACCTGAGGATGCTCCGTGCTGTGATAACATGGGAACTGCTTCCCCAAAACTAGTTGAAATATAAGTTTACTTGTTTAATACTCGGTAAGCTTCATCCTCAGTGAGGGAACAATAGAATACTGAAGAAATATTCAGATTGTTATTATAGCAAAAGGAGTTGAGTGTGCAAGTAGCATGCTTGGAACAAATGCACACAAAGTTTTGGTTAGGAATCCTCATGACAGGTCTAACCACAGAAGGGAGAACAGATGTAAAGTGGCCTTGTTGTGTTTCAGGATGTAAGGATGTGTGCTGGGAAGCAGAAACAAATCAATACAACAGCAATTTATGTAACAAAACACAATTTATTACATAATGTCTCACAACATTTGCATGATTAAATATTAGGCACAATAATATTGACATTGACAATAATTACAACTCTTTTGTTTTTGCTTTAAGAAAGAATTTACATACTGTTTAAAAATAGATTATTTTTACTGAGATGAAGTAAGAAACGTGTCAGATGCAGAATGTCAGATCAACTGGAGAGAGAGAAGGCACCTGAAAAAAAAAACAAATGTATTCATTCTCTTCCACTGATTTGTTCTGGGTTAGTCAAGATACAATAGAACACTGAATAATTCCTTCCAAAGACTTCATTTATCTGCTGAGCTCCCAAAATAAAATGGAAATGAGTTATGTACGGGAGCAACTGTGTGACCTAAAATCATGGTCAAGTCTGCTGGCTGAAAACCATGAAACCATGCACATTTATGTACATAAAATGCAAAGTGAGTTCGTTCAAAGTACTACATAACTGCTTGTCAGATTTCAGCAGTTTTTGTTGGTGTAATTCAATTTGGGTTTTCGGCCAACTTTGGACACTTTCCCTCTCAACCCCCAAAGCAAACATTTCCCATGCACTTTTAGTCTGTGGTTTCCTCAGCAGCAATTATAGATTCAGTTAATCCTAATATGGCAATGGGGAATACATACACTTTATAACTACTGGAGAGACCAAATTCACAATAAACAGAAATAAAACATACATCTGTAACCTCCACTAAGCAGGATGAAAGAACCTCACACTTTTCATAAGTTATCTTAAGAAAATGTGTTTTGGCCAAGTGCCTCATCTTTTTGGGTGTTTACAAGACAGTACTAAAAATTGGTTATTAGCTTCTATACTAGGATCTTAATAAACTTCAATATTTCTACATGTGCACACACAGTTAATTTACATTAACATAAATTAATAAATGTAAAGAATTTAAATGTGGCTTGCTGCTTTAAGTTGCCTCATCAATAAAAGTCATTTCACAGTAAAATGCTTCACAAAACCCATTCTCACTGTAGTCACAACAAGATATTTTCAGATGTTTTAAATAACAGTTACATGCATACAATTTATTAAAGGACACATTTTGAGAAACACAAGGTCAATGGTGAAATATGAAGACTGTGAAAACATAACTGTGCTTAATATATTGCTGTAATAGGTCCCTGGAATGTGCATTTTATAAGCTTTGAAATGAATTTTGTCTCTCAATTAGGGTTGAAGCTATACTAATTCTTCTAAGAACTTGTGCCTGAAAAGTGATTTGTTTGACAACACTGCTGCTCTCAAAATTCTATTGGATATAAGGCTGTAAAATTTGGCAGGAATAAAATGTCTCTTTTCTACATGGCTTCACTATAAAAATGGGTATTGCCAGAAGTGCAGGGGCAAATATAACAGGAGCACTGAAGACACACAGCATAGTGGAGTAGTATACAACAACATGAGAGTAAAAATGGTGGGCATCAGAAAGCTCCAGACATATACTGCACATTCACGGCAGCTTCTACAGTGCTGGTGGTAAGGGCACTGATTCTCCTGACATTCAAGCACAAATGCAGGTATAAGAAATGGCCAAAAATGGAAACATGTATAATGGGAATCTCCTGTACCTGATTAAACTAATTTTGAGATCTTATACTCCTTATACAGTGCGTACAATCAAGTGCGCGCCGCGGCTGCAATTTGCCGTGAGTCATACCACCGCAGAACGGATGCAGTCGCGGGGAGGAGTTGCAAGTGCGCGCACTTGATTGTACGCACTGTACTAGTTAANACTTAAACAAGTAAACTGATTTGGTGAATATCATTTAACTACTGATATGTTGGGATTTTGGACTTTATCCATCGTCCTGGTTTTTAAGATAAATAAAAACACGACGTTTCGGAAACGTTGTGTTTTTATTTGTTATCTTAAAAACCAGGACGATGGATAAAGTCCAAAATCCCAACATATCAGTAGTTAAATGATATTCACCAAATCAGTTTACTTGTTTAAGTTACAATGGTGGGAAAAAACAGGTGTGCAGTTAATACTGGTGTAAAATATTTTCCACCTTAAGATGAAGGTAAGCATTTCTGGTTAATTTTATAACACATTGTGGACAAAGTGTTATGTCTGCAACAATATTCTCAGATTCTCCTTAGAATATGCCATGTGGTATGAAACTGTAAAAAGAAATTCCAGTCAGACACACTTACTCTAGCAATTTTTACATGTAGCAGCACAAATTTTGTTTCATTTTTCAAGAGGTATTACTTAAACAGGGGGCATGCGGTAGCATAGTTGGTTGAGGGGCTATCCTACAAGCGGGAAGGTCGCAGGTTCAAGTCCTGATGAGGCCACTGGATTTTTTTCAGTTGACCTAATCCTTCCAGCAGCACTAGGCCCTGGGGTTTACTCAGCCTCTAACGGAAATGAGTACCAGGAATTAATTAAATAATTTTCCTTTCTTACTTATTACTTAAACATGTTTGTGTTTGTAGGTATCATTGTGCATATGTCCTACAAGTGTGGCTTGAACCAAACAACCAATTCATAGTGTGTGGTATGAATGTTACAAAATAGTTCACACTACTCTCATGTATTTTCGTTCTCTGCCAGAAACAATACCACATTATGGCTATGCAATTTCCTGAGGTAGAAGTAACATTCAGCACTGCTGAAAAAATGCTACTTGCTTGTATTTGGGAACCATACATTTCGCAGAACTATTATACTGTACTAATAACAACAGTATGTTCACCCCATATACCGTGTTGCAGTTGCAGTTCTATCTACATCCAGTTGTTATTGATGCCTAATAAAAATAATCATTGAATAAAAAAGAAGCCAATTCCTTATTCAGTGGTTAACATATTAAACCATTCAGCAAACCTGAAGCTTATACATATATTTTCACCACGCGTGATAAATGTGAAAATTGATATTTTATCTGCAATTCAACAAAGAAACTGTAAAATCTGCGGCATTCTGTCCTCAACGAAATTTTCATTCCTACCTTGAACCAATAATGCGCACCTTTCCAAAAGGAAATTCATATTTTTGTGATGCATTTTCTCTCGATGCTATAACGCATCTAGTCCTGCAGCTCTTTTTCTCGCATAGCATCCCAAACAGGCACATACACCGACAACCACAGCAGCCATTCCAATAATGAGTGCTAATGCATCGCCAAAATCAAACCCATGTGAAGCATAGGCTTCGTGACAGAACGCAAGAAAAACGAAAGCGATATGTTCCCACATAATTATCACATAGAATCACATTCATAAAATTATTCTATGAACAAGACGTGAAAAATACTGAACTACTTCTGAAAGAAACCTACAACATCGACACAAAACCACACTAACATTGATCAAATGGCTCATACGCGAAGTACGCGAGGTACGCGAGAATCAACTTGGACGACATAAGCATCACATGACCGCAGTGTTGTCATGTATGGGAAGTGGCAACATTATTAACTTTCCAGAGGTGTAATTTTTAAGCGATAAGGCTATCGTAATAATTTAAAAGATTTGTAACTTGTAATACTACAATTTTTTCTTAAAAATTAATGAATACTGCACAACTGATAATGCAGACTCTCCTTGCCGCTCCTTGCCCACTAGTGGTGACATTCTGAACAGTTTCAAACAATATAAATTTGTATAATTGTAATACGTGCATTGCCAGTAGCAATGAATAATTGTACTTAAAATAGTATCATAATTGGCTTTTTGGGTCATCATCTTGGATGAAATAATTATATTGCTGATAAGAAGTGACATCAGTTGTGGTAAACGGTGGTCAAGTGTCAACTACTTGTCAGCGTTGTCAGCTGATGTAGATGGAAAAATGGCCACCACTGGATTTGAGGAAGTTGATTATTCTTGTGACCTATCAAAGTCGCCTGTATTTACAGATAGTGCACTTAATAGCCTTCATAGCCAGGAAACAACAGGTGTACCGCTTCAAACAGCATGGACATTTTGGTTGGACAAGTATGGACATTTTGTTATATAAAAAAAAAGTTGTGTTATTACTGTCGAAGGTGTAGATTGTGGTTTTCTGTGTTATGACGCCTGGTAGTTGGTTAACAGCGTTTCGGAGGAAGGTACTGCCCCTGTTTTCAGCTATGTAATTTGGTAGTGGTCACCTGTGTGACCTATCTACAAACTCGCCCTTTTTACCTTCACGGCCCATCTACAAATTCGCCTTTTTTACCTTCCCTTTTATCGTGAAGATGGAGGCAGCAAGCCCTCCTAAGCATTGATTATCACCTATAAGACTATCAAAGTTTCTCTGCCCAGAAGACCGCAATCTGGATTTTGAACCACCTTAAAATTCCAGATCTCACTGTTGAGATGTTCTTCTCCAGTGTTTAACATACTCATAATATTCTGTGAGATTATGAAGATTATTTTCAAATACCTACATTATTTATGTGTTCAGAATCCTGATTTAACATTCAGTCGGTTAATATGATGCAAAATAAATATATCTGAGAAGAAAAATCAGTGTTAGTATTTACGTTTCGTTAAAGTGTCATTCCACATTGAATCAACACAGGAAAGAGATATTTTCAGTGTGACCCATACAAATTTTAGTGCTTTTCAGTAACTAGAATTTTGAGAGCAGACATCCAGATTTGTTAAAATTTCATTTTTTTGACACAAATTGCCCTAGAAAAAGTGGCATAACCAGAAAAGAAAATTTAGAATATGTGAATATCTCAATGCCCAAAGAACACTGAGCTGTAGAGATTTGAAGTCGGAGAGCCTAGACCACATGAAACCTGCTCAGAACTGCCAAAGCTTCAGACACTGAATGACTCATACCCATCAGCAAATACAGTGCGTACAATCAAGTGCGCGCCGCGGCTGCAATTTGCCATGAGTCATACCACCGCAGAACGGATGCAGTCGCGGGGAGGAGTTGCAACACTCCCCGCGACTGCATCCGTTCTGCGGTGGTATGACTCACGGCAAATTGCAGCCGCGGCGCGCACTTGATTGTACGCACTGTACTAATCTGGACATGTACAGCTAACTGAATCTGGTTCAAGTCAATGTATTGTTTGTTACTGTAATTAAAAATATTTCCCCATTGTTTTTTCCAAGACTTATTCAAGTCTGTATACAGCAAATAATCTTAATGATGTGTGACTGGACAGAGGAAACATTGTTAATTTACATTAACCCAAATAAATAAGTGTAAATAATTTCAAATAAACATATTACTCTAAGTTGCTTCATTAATACAAGTGAAGTGATTCATCAAAGTAAAGTGCTTCACAAAATCCAGCCCTTTGGCAGTACCTACTTGATATTTGCCAACAGATACATGCACACAGTATATAAAAAAAAAACAAACATAGAGACATACAAAGTAAAAGGTCAAATTTGAAGACCTTGAAAACATAACTGTGCTGACAGTATTGGTATAAATGGTAACTGTAAAAGGCATTTTATTGGTTTTGATATGAGCGTAAAGTGAGTTCTCTGTCACACAATTTAGGCAGAAGTTATGTCACTTTTTCTAAAACAACTTTGCCAAAAAATGTGTGTTTTGACAAATTTGGATGCCTGCTGTACAAAATCTGTCATGAATACATACCTCCCAGGACCTACAGTCCAAAATAAATCAGTTCAAAAGATGTTGGGTTATGATGTGTATTGATTTGATGTGGAATGACTCTAAAGTGAAAAATTACTAAGGGTTTCTTATAGAAGTGATAAATTATCTTTGCTGTCAGGAGGTGCATTTGGACTTTACTGTACCAAAGTGAAGTGCAACATATTTCTAAACAAGGGTACTTTTATTTTTGGCTAATAAAAAACTATGTCATCTGGGATAAGAAAATAAGAGGAAATTGGAGAAAATTATATAATGGGGAGCATCATAATTTGTACTCATCAGTAAATATTATTAAGTTGATCAACTCATGTAGGATGAGAGAGAGAGAGTCATGTAGCATGCATCAGAAGGATGAAAAATACACAGTAAGTTTTAGTTATGTTATATTTTAGCGTCCTGTTACACTGATTCATGTCCATGGTTTATGCTAACCGTCTTACAGTGTATACACTTTTTCACCTTATTCTTCACTTCCACACTACATGTTTCAGCACTAATGTGCCATCCTCAGGTGTCTTTATGCACGTTAAACTATTGTCCTGCATTCCATGATGTCTTCATTCTAAAATGACTAAAATCTGTATTCGTCATATATGTCGATGAATTCTAAATAATAAAACTTCGGGATTCATCATATGTCGCACTCAAACTCGCGAATTACACCAGTCCTCTTTTATGTGAGCATTCTTCCTACATGCATATGTGTATCATGTTCTGTGTTGTGTTTTGCTCCTGTTACTGCATGCATTGTACTGCTGGATATAAGAATAAGGTGAAAAAGTGTATACACTGTAAGACGGTTAGCATAAACCATAAAGTTAGTTAGATAACCTGAAAGCGGCCTCCGTAGTCTAGAGGTAACGTTCCCACCTCATGACTTGTAGTACACGGGTTCAAATACCCGGCGGAGGTCGTCGAATTTTTAAGGGCGGAAAAATTCAGGGAACAAGTCCTCCGGGAGGGACTTTAAGCCGTGGGTCCCGTGTCGTAGCTTTACGGCACGTAAAAGAACCTCATATCTCCAAAGGAGGTCACTGAGCCAAATTACGGATGTTTCCCGCCCAACAGCAGTCTCTAATACCTCTGGTAGATGGGGGAAGCATTATAGATACCTCTCAGCTAGTAGAGCCGGTCTCGCTGGCTGGGCGGGACTGATGGTAAGCACCAATACCGGTAGGATATAGAGACTGGTAGAAATCATAGAGGGAAGCACAACGGACCAATACAGGTCTAAGTGCATGGGGAAACCCACCCTCTCCAATAACTAACTAACTAGGTAACCTGAATGGGAGATACGTTTTGGAAGACTTAGGAGTAGGTGGGATGATGATATTGTCGCATGTTGCCTGTGTGACGTAACAAATAAATTCACACAGGTCTCAGATTTGGTGAATATTTATTGGCCAATCTCCTCTACACTTCCAAGCACAATTATCATTCACTTATAACATCATCAGATGTTTCTTACAGCACTGATATAATAACTGCTTCTGCAAAACTGAACTGTTCTTGGCAACTTCTAGAACTCACCTAACTGTCAACTGTCTGTCTGGTACATTCAACCCCCTTAAATAGGTCTTTTGTGGACCGCTTGTGGAACGCCTTTCTCAACATTTTGGTTTTCCCGTTGTCATACAACGCTTTGAACGGTTCATTGTAACTGTGGACTCACTGTTAGAATTCCAGTGCTGCATTATATTCTTCTGTCTAGGAAATGATATCCCGTTGACCAGCAGCGAATGCTGAAATATGCTTCATAGTCCGGCTTTTAGGCAGCACCTCACAATATTATAAAGGGTTTTAAAGAAATATGGTGTGAATGTGTGGACAGGCGTAATCTGGCTGATGATAAGAACCAGTGTTGGGCTCTTGGGAACTTAAGTGTTAGTTCCTTAAGGCCTTTTATGTCCTCTTCGTGGTTACGAGATAGTATTATGATCTTATTAGGCTTGATAGCCAGATATGTCATATTGCACCACTGCTGCACTATGCCTAGAACTGTTTGTAACACTCCTGCCACAGTCTGAGTGGATTTTCCAGTGATTATGTTTGCAGTGTTATCTGCCTATCCTCCTACATAATAATCGCTGTCATTGAGTTCACATGAAATTTCATCCACAACCAGGCTGCACAGCAGAGGCAATACCACACCTTCCTGGGGACATCCTCAAACACCGCACCACCTCAGGGTTTCTCTTGACAGTGTGGTTCTTATGTTCCTGTTTTCCAGCATGGAACAGATCCACCTGCAAATGGTGGGTTAAACACCATGTCTTTCAGCAGCCCCAGTCATTTCATCAAGAAAGGTGTTCAGAACTCCTTTTATACTCTTATTAGGGAAAGGCTTCAATACACCATTCCTATTATGCTTATGCATCTACTTTTCCATTGTCTCCAAGAGCAGAGACATCAGACAGATATGATAATAAGCCTTGGCCTCAAACTTCCCAGGCTGTGGTATAAATGTCACTTTCTCCTGTCTTCAGGCTGTAGGGATATCCATATGCCAGACAGGCTCTAAGTATGCAGCACTGGTGTGGGACTAGATCTTCTATCCCTTGGTGCTAAAATGCCGGTAAAATCTCATCTGTTCCCTCTGGTTTTAAGTTCTGCCTGGAGCTCGTCTGATTTCTGACTGATTCCTGTCTCCCATGTTCAATCTGCTTCTGCATACATCCCAGTTTACCTCTTTCTGTCCATGAGCTGAATCATCAGTCAACCTTGAGTATGGAAAATGGATCCTGCATAGCTTCTTGAGGGTTTCCTTTCCAGCCGTCAGATAGGTTAACAGTGCTAATTCTGTTAGTCGCCTGTTTTGCCATGACCTTCATGAATACAACCTGGCACAGCCTGGTATGTCAGTGATCTGGCAATACCTCCTCCATTTTTGGCTCTTCTAATTTCTTCAATGTAACAGGTGAGGGTCTCCTTATATGTGTTTCAATCCCCTGTCCTCTTGGGTGCAGTATATGGCCATTTTGTTTTGACCCTCGGTACCAAGGTACTTTCTTTGCAGAGCACATGGTCCTGGCAGGGCAATTACAGTGACAGGACTGGGCAGCAGCCAGATCTGTGTATCCAATAGGTCATCTTTATATGACTCCGCTTTGGCCCTTTAGGGATCTTTGACAGTAACTCTAGCTATAGACATGTTACCTGTTTGAAAACATATGTATGATTTGACAGAAAAGGCTCATGAGATACATGCCAATTACTTACTGGGTTTCCCATTTCATTGGTTCCTAGTGTCAAATTGGTAACTTACTTCCAATTGCATGTCACAAAGGTAGGCTCATTCCCTTCATTAAGAATATTCAGCTTTGAAATCACTGTCAGACCTCCTCTAGGATTGATGCTAGTGTTCCCCCATATAATGTTGTGTGTGTTTGCATCACATCGAATGATGACTTTTTCCAGCTGCTGGAGTACTCTGTGATGTCCCTCAACTCTTGGTTGGTGGTGGTTTCTCTGAGTCATACAGAAGGTATGCTGAGGTGGCACTGAGTTCTTTTCATTTCCTTCCATGTATGTATATCATCCTCACTGTTGTCAGATCCCTGGAACACAGCTCCAACAGACATAGGACAGTATTTTTCCTGACATAAATGCAGGAACTTACATTACCATTGGATGTGATAAAAGATGTTTCCACCTGAACTTGATAAGCCTCGTATTTGGCCCACATAGATCAAGGCTCCTGAATAAGTACTACAACTGCCATTCCCTCAGGATGTTGCTCGCATAGAACTGCCATGGCTGATTTAATGTTGTGTAAGTTAGTTTGAACAAATTTAATGTTGTTAGTTGTTTCTTTTTCCTCTACTTCTGCCTCATCTTACTTCGAGGAAGGTGTATTTACATCCCCTTCTTCCTCTCTTCATCCCCAGCATACCATATTCCCCCCAACAATGTCCCATGGTCCACTGAAGTAGTCTTGATAGCTAGGGGTCAGCACTCTCACTGCCCCTACTGTCATTTTCTGTTGTGTGACCTGGTTCTTGGAGGGAGTACCTGCAGTACCTCCCTCTCAACATCAGATTGTGGAGACAAAGAGCTCATTAAGGCCCCTTGTTCACCTTTGAGCCCTGCTTAATGACCATTCAGGGCCTTAATGTTCCCCTGAGTGAGACAGGTGAATATTCTCTAGGTGAGTTCCTTGAAGATCCCTGTCCATAAGAAGGGTAAACCTCTTGACAGGCTTCTAGCTTTTTAGTTCAGGCAGCCTACCTATCACCATCCAATTCTTGGTGCTAGGCCCTTAATCCACCTAAGTATCTCATCAGGACCCTTGTCAATCTTGTCCTTCATTGTAAGGGCCACCTTGACAAGCATGGGGATTTTCTTGGCATCCATTGCTTCCACCATGGCCCCTGAACCCAGCCTGTGATTATCATTGGCTCTAATGAGCCACTGACCCAGGCTGTTGATCAGCACACACATACCTATGTATGTCTCTTTCCAACTCGAGGGACTTCAGGTGTGACATTTCTCACTTTGGGCTCCCACAAAACACCCTCCCCAGTTCTTCAGGGATGAGGTCATGATCATCCGTTGTCATCATACCTTTGACACTAGTGGCATGTGATAATGACTGCACAGTGGGTTCAGGTTAGAAATGGATTTATTCAGTGTTACTTCCTATGTGCAAGTGATAAGCGATATTCACTGTTGTTTGTTATTTGCTGCTGGATTCCTCTTGCTTGGTTCTTTGGCATCCTGTCATCACAGATTCACTCCCCGTTTATGGTATGCTTGTTTTTGTAGTCTTGTTGCCTGCTGCTTATACTATGATGTGCTCAGATGTCTTGTTACAGTTCATTCAGCTCCATTTTTGGCAACAGGGCATCTGTGAAACTTTTTTTTTTCACTTCAGTTACTTAATTTTATACACAGTTGGTAGGACTCCTTGGATGGGTGATCAGCCCATTGCAATGCTGCTACCTACACAGAACAACACAAACACAGAATAAACGCATACACAGACATCCATGCCTGTAGTAGGATTTGAACCCACAATTTTCAAACTGGGGAATCATAAAACATGGTGTTCCACAGGGATCAATTTTGGGCCCCTTGCTTTTTCTTCTCTACATAAATGATCTATCAAAAACCATCAATAATAAATCTAAACCAATTCTGTTTGCAGATATAAATAATATAATATAATATAATATAATATAGTATAATATTTAAGAACTCTAAAATTGAAGACTTTAAAAATGATACAAATTTTGTATTTGAACCTTTAAATAGATGGTTCGAAGCCAATAAACTCTCACTAAATTTTGATAAAACCCATTACATACCATTCTTAACTAACAACAGCCACCAAATTGATCTGGTGATCAGTTATGCCAACAGTCTGTAAAGCACCTGATACAAAATTCCTTGGAATACATGTAGACAGTACACTGTCTTGGAAAATACATATAGAACAAACTATACCTAAATTAAGTGCAGCTTGCTATGCAATGAGATTGATTAGGCCCTTTATGCCACAGGAAACACTGAAGATGGTTTACCATGCCTACTTTCATTCTATTATGGACTATGGATTAATATTCTGGGGGAACTCTTCACATAGTGTAAAAATTTCTAAGATACAAAAGAATATAATTAGAATCATTACAGGATGTAGAAGTAGAGATTCATGTAGATATTTATTTAAGAAATTAAAAATTCTACCTCTTCAATCACAATACATACTATCGCTTATCTTATTTGTTGTGTACAACAAAAATAAATTTGAATTAAATTCCAATATCCATAACATGAATACTAGACAAAAATATAACTTCCATCTACCTTCATCAAACTTATCACTCTATCAGAAAGGAGTCTACTTTTTTGGCATAAAAGTGTACAATAGTCTCCCACAAAGTATCAAAAACTTGAGTAATGATACTAAACATTTTAAATCAGAGCTAAAGAAATATCTGCATGCTCATTCCTTCTACTCTGTAGACGAATACCTCAATGTAAATACAGAATAATGTAGAATTAAGCTGTATTAGTTTAAGATAAAATTACTTGTACCAGTAGGTATTCTTTTGACTTGTTCTATATCCAAAGGTATTAACCTGCTTAGGGTCTATGGAATGCAAATAAATTCAATTCAATTAAAAAAAAATCCCCAGTGTTTGAGCAGGAAAAGACAGTTCATGCCCTAGACCACATGGCCACTATGACTGGGCTTGTTACAATACCACTTATAAAATGTTTGTGAAAGAATAATAGGAAGTTTTAGGTTATGATGTTGGAGCTTCAGATTATGAAAAAATATCAGTATCAGCAGAGGAGTATTCTGAACATCTACATTATACAGAAAAGAGTCTGTAAGTAATACATGATATTATCCTAACAGCTGTCATTTGTCTTGACCTACACTATACACTATATTGATGCAGTAAGACTGTAAAATGATTAAGCAAATTAACATACTGTACCATAAATTCTTAAAGTATTTTATTTGCAATATTTTAGGTCAATTCCAGGATCTACTGCAGCTGAGTACCAGGCAACTCTAAAGAAAATCTACACTGTAAGCACAGTACAGGGTTTCTGGCGTGTATACAACAATATTCCAAGTGCAGGTGATTTGCAAGTGCGGTACAGTTACCACTTGATGAGGAATGAGCACAAACCTTTGTGGGAGGAGTCATATAACCAACATGGAGGCACCTGGCGCCTCAAATGCTTGAAAAAGGATACGGTATGATCATCATATAAGTGTATTTTATACTGCAAGAAAATGTAAATCTTGGGCACTCATACACCACATAAAGAGTGGAACTCCCGATCATAACTCCTTAAAGTTTCATCAATATTTGGAATATAAATGGCATTAAAATACCACATTTCATACTCATTCACATGAACATGTGAAATTGAAGATTTAATTTGTCATCTACTCCAAAAAGGGTGAAACATGTTTGTTTTAGCCTCATTTCATTATTCAAAAGAACTTTCTTTCAAACCTAGTTGACATGATAGGCTATTCATTTCATGAAGCAAATGTTAAGCTTTGTGATTAAAAATGGTTAGCCCTGAAATGGTTACTTTTATTATAATTTGCTAGCTTCCCAGAACTCTGAACATATTCATAAAATGCAAAGATGATTTCATAACTGCTATAATGATTTTGAGTCTTTATTTTAAATTCACTAGAAATGTAATGGTGTGTATGATATACAGTGCTAGGCAGTGACTGCAAGATAGGTGACTGTACAACAGCCGTTGCTAGGCAGTTGCCCATAAACAGCAACAGAGGAACGGTGTTTTGTGTGCAGTCCGCTGATCAGCAATTAATACAAGTGTATACTGTGTAGAGTATTCCTGATTCATTGTCCTAATCGTAATTTTATAGTAGCTGTTTATATTGGTGCCCAACATTCAGACACACTTCACAACAACCTGTTGTAAGTGACAGTAGCTGATGAAACAAGCCACCACGTGTTTCAGTGCTTTTTGCACTTTTGCAGTTTTTGTTCGAGTCAACCTGGTAATAATGTAGAGAGTTTCACCTTTTAATATTATCTGTATTGTATTGTTCATAGACTCGAGTGTGGAGGGAGCTGCTGCTGGCAGCAATAGGAGAGCAGTTCAGTGATAGTGTATCAGAAGGTGATGAAGTGTGTGGTGTGACAGTGTCAGTGCGGGAACGTGATGATCTAGTCCAAGTGTGGAACACGTGTGCCGATTTAGCTCCTGAGGCAGAGGTGCTACACAAGATTCATAGACTATTGCCAGATGTCAGCTTCCCAACTGAATTTTACAAGCGTGAGTATCTACCATCATAGAGCTTCAAACACGTGTTTGTTCTAAGGTCCATGATTGCAATTTTGAAATTATTTACATTTCCGACAACTTGTTTGCTGCATCATTATGCCAGTTTATTCACACATGACTTTATCTCACCTCAAAAGAAAAGTATTATTACTTTGTATATCTGAATATTAAATTTTAAATAAAAGGGTTATTATTGAAGATAACACTATCAGTGTAATTTTGAGTAGTTTCTCTAAATTCCCACAGACAGCATGTAATGCATCCCAAAAAAAAAATATTGTTGAATAAAATAACCAGGCGACAGTACCTGGACTTTCTGAGGTAAGAACACAACTGAAATCATATTAACTTAACAAGGCAAACTTTGAGCATTTGCATGCTCTTGATCAGTGGATAGCTTATAATAACTTCATTTGTTTTCATTTTGGCATTTGAGGATTCAGGGAACCTGAAGGCTCATAGAACTGTTGGATGTTAAAATATGGTCATGAGTTCCATGGGACTCAGAAGCAAGAATTACTGTGCGGGCAAGGACCAGCAGTAATTTAGCAGTCAATTAATTACACCGAGTTGTAAGATGATAGCCAGCCAGCAATGACATAAGCATGGAAGCAGAGGAGTTGCACTGTTAGATGCTGCTACCAACAATGACTAGCGATGGCTATAATAGACTGAGACCCAGCATGTACAGTAGTGATTCACTGAGTATGTAGATTACTGATAGTGTTATAATTACTTGTAATTATGAGTTATAAATGTTCAGTAAATCAAATTACTAATCCAAGTCTCATGTTTAGTCACTAACACATGACGGCTCATGTCAGAAGTGGGATTAATTGGATTGGATCGAATTTGACTTATCGAATTGTGCATTGCTGGAGTTGATCCCACATGATGGATAATTATGGTGGATTTGGAATGTCTGGTAGTCATCATGGAATAGATGAAAGCCAAGATGGACGTCAGCCAAGACTAGATGGAGGCCACAATCAAGACCTCATAAAAGAGATTAAAGCCACACTAAGTGCCAAGCAGAAGATGGAAGCCAAGGTAGATACTCCCATAAGTGTCATCCAAGAGAAGGTGGAGGTCATGATAAATTCTGTCTGGTCCAAGATAGAAGCGACCATCAAAAGTGTGGTTGGGGATGTTCTGGAAACTGTCAACCAACAGACCCAGGGCCTCTGCAGGGGATGGAATGGGAATATTTAAGAAACAGAGCTGCACTTAAGAGTATTAATGACCTTCCTCAATACTTGGACCCAGAACCCTCATGAGGGGATAGGAAATGCAAAGAAGGAGGTTTGCTAAGAGTTTTAGCTCAGAACCCTGGACACTCGAATTGACATACAAAGAACAAAGACCCTTATAGAGACCAAGATAACAAAAGTCAAAGCCTTTATTGAGCATGGATCTTGCGGGAGAACAGGACTTGGCGTAGGCATGGTGGAGCCACATAAATTCCATGGATCAACCCTGTGGGCCATATTCTGACTGCAATTTGAGAATGTGGCCTAGCACAAGGACTGGGTACCGCTCCAGAAAGCCACACACCTAATTGTCACCTTGAATAAGCCTGCTGCCCACATTGTACATGGTGTCCCTACAGGAGCCGTGTACAGAGAGGTTACTGAGGTGCTTGCAAGTCACTGCAGTTACCACCACCTTGAAGAAGTGTTCAACCCTTGGCTGAAGAGAAGGATCTAGCATGTTGAGGAACCCCTGCAGGGAAATGCCACCTTTATCAACCATTTGGCTTACTGTGCCCATGTTAAACTACCTGAACACCTGATCAGTGATGAAGCCACCCATGCTGTCCTCCGTACCATGTACTAAACACAGGGACCATAGCTGATACCACGGACATTATAAAAACAGGAAAGACAGGCACACACTTAAGAAGTTTAGAGAAATACCACACTTATAAATTCAGCAAAGAGAACTACATATTGTAGCATGAAGAGAGTTGTTGCTGGGTTACAGCACAGTAAACAACTTATCAGTGTAAAATGATTGCACACACAACAGAAGAACAAATCACATCCATGGTGACATAACATAACAGTAGGAGAACCTCAAGAAGGAGTGTTGCAATGTGGTCTGGCACCAGGCAGACATTGTCATTACAGTGGAACACATGATACCACCCCACCCTCATCAACAGAGAAATGGTGTTTTCTGTTGGGTGACCAGAGTGGTTTAAAGGGCTGTTGTACTGTGATGTGGAAAGCAAATGGAAAAACTACCACATTATCACTTTTCCTGGACAGTCTCTTTCCAAAAACAGAGATACCATGTATGCGAGATATCGCATTAAGTGGAGGAACTGTTTTGGAAGGGACTGTGGACCTGTCATCTGACATATTACTGATGAATGAATGAATGAATGCCCCAAGGCTTTATCACTCAACTGACCAAGTTGAATTCAGTTAATGGAATGGAGTTGAGTTGAGAGTCTTAAGGTGGCAGTTAGAAGAGTAGGAGTTAGTTGTGGGACAATTGCCAGCCAGTAAGCAGAGGATATTGTTGGATCCACCATCAGGCAGTGGCTAGTACAGATGCAGTAGAATGAAAAGACTTAATGTGTGCTGTAGTGCCCTGCAGAATGTGTGAATTAGCAATAATGCTATAGTTACTTGTAGCTATGACCTGTAAGTGTTAAGGAAAACCAGCTACCAATTCAAACCCCATCTGTAGTCACTCGTACACGTAAGAGTACGAATGACACATACATTGACACATACAGCCCCAGATCAAACTTCTCATGAACTCCATACTAGACAACAGCACACGCTCCCATCCCTTTCTTAAAAAGTTGAACACACAGAACATTTTTAATCTTCATGCTCGGACAGCACAGCAGTACAACCAACCCAACAGAGTTTTACCTAGACAACTCACTGCAACACACACAAGTACAAGAAACCCGCATGACACAAACAATAACTATATATATAAAACACAGAAAATAAGTATAATCTACAAGGGTTGGAACTTTAATAGTGGCAACTATTTATTTACAACTGATACAAAATAGTTGCATGTTTCAAAGTTTTACTGTCCTTCACTGTAGTCACCAGCATTGTGTACAACCTGTTGCCAGCAATGTGGAAGTTGTAGGATACCTTTAGCAGCGCCTGTTGTGTTGATAGTTCGAATGGAGCAGTCTACTGCCTGAAGAAGCTCTGAAACAGATCTGAAGTGAATGCCACAAAGTGGTTCCTTCATCTTAGGAATCAAGTCGAAGTCACGAGGGCTTAAGTCTGTGGAGTATGGTGGATGGTACAGCACTTCCCAGCCCCATCAATCAAACAAGTCGGGCACAGCTTGTGCTGCATGCGGCCAAGCATTGTCCTGCAAAATGATGGGTGTGTTCTGCAGAAAGTGTTGCCGCTTCTTTCTCAAAGCTGGTTGCAAGTTGTGTTCCAAAAATGAACAGTAATACTGCGCATTGATGGTCTGCCGTCAGGGAATGCTATGCATTAGCATAACACCATCACAGTTGTACGTGAGAATCACCATAACTTTCACATTCCTGGGGTTCTGACGAACTTTTGATTTTTGTGGTGACCCGTAATGACACCATTCGTTCGATTGGCGTTTCATTTGAAGCTCATACAATTTGGCCCATGTCTCATCCAGCGTAATGATATGGCATAAGAAAGCCTCTCCTTTGCGCTCGTGGCGCTCCAAGTCGTTACAAGCAGTGTCGTATCATAGCCATTTCTGCATTTCTGTCAAATCATGCAGGACCCATTGTGATGCAATTTTTCTTAAGCCCAGGCATTCCTTCAGATTGTGAAGCACAGTTATATGCACTAATCCCGTCTCTTGGGCCAGCACACAAATCATATGGTGTTGATCACTCTCCAGTAATGCAGGAAGAGCATACACTTCTTCTTCACTGACACTAGGATGACCTGGCCGACGCACGTCTGCCACATTTTGGCATCCCTCATTGAAGGCTTTTACCCACCTTGCCACTGTTCTGTAAGGCAATGCAGATTCCCCGCAAGCCTCTTGAAGACCTTGATGACACTGTCATGCTGTATGGCCTCTGGCACATTCAGTCTTTATCCAACTCCATTGTTCCTGTTTCGAAAACATTGTGACAACACTACATTAGACCACCAGCTAACACGAGGCTCTGTTCTTCTCATCATTGGGCATGTGCCTGATGTGGAAAGGGAGAGTCCATTTGCTCTGAGATAAGGTAGGTATGTAACTAACATGTGGTATAAGCGACATTATCTGTTTCTGTTGCATGGCGTCTCTACAGAAGTGTTGCCACTATTAAAGTTCCAAACCTCATATAATAATATATCTTACATATTTCAGATAACATGATAATATAAACACTGCATAGACAACTATATACTCAGCTATAATAGCACACATAAATATCAACTTAAAAAAAAATCTATAACACAGCAACCAAGTAACATACTATAACACAATACATTTCCTCACGTATTACAGATAACATCATCATCGTGGTACTGAATGAAGCCCAACAGAATTTTAACAGATATATTTTAAAGAACTTCTAATTATTTCTAGGAACAAACAGTTTGAAAAATGAACTTCGGAAATTGTCATGGAATATAGACATGTGGCAAAATGGAGGATACTGTGAAAGAATTTTAACAGAATTCACATATGCCTGATGATGACAGTATGTGGCCGAAACATGTCATACTAAGAGTGTGTACATGAGACAGAAAATAAACGTTTGCATTTAATGTATGTGTGTATGGTCTAGAAAACTGAAATTATCAGCTGTGGGGATTTGTTGCGCTGACCACGTGACACCCTCTATCCGCTAAAGTTGGATACTGTGAAAGAATTTTAACAGAATTCACATATGCCTAATGATGACAGTATGTGGCCGAAACATGTCATACTAAGAGTGTGTACATGAGACAGAAAATAAACGTTTGCATTTAATGTATGTGTGTATGGTCTAGAAAACTGAAATTAACAGCTGTGGGGATTTGTTGCGCTGACCACGTGACACCCTCTATCCACTAAAGTTGGCACTAACTTCGCTGACAAGCAGCGGTCGCTTGGTTGGCTGGTATATTTCGCTTGCGGACTAGAGCCATGGAGTTTTTTTTTATGTATGTAGGTATGAAAACTTAAACCAGTATGTTATGTGAAATATGAATTTCAGTATTGTCATCGGTTTTCAGTGAACATTGTCAACAGTGTTAGCATTTCATTTTTTTTTTTTCATTTGCTTTTTATTGTATTTCAGCTCATCAGACTCATCATGCTTATGAAGGAGGAAAGTCAGCTTGATTTCAGATATGCATAGTACAAATTATGTGATGACTTCAATAAGATGTGATTACAAATTAAAAGAAAAATATAAGCTACTTATGTTCCTGCATCTCTGCGGGGTCCCAATTTCCCATGTATGTTGCTTTAGTTTAATGTAATCCTGTAAAGGCATAGAATATTTGGTTTACAGTGATGAACCAGATTTTTCTGCAAAATAGGTTCAGTATATTTTACGTTAAAAATCATTTAGCTTTGACAGAAAGATACATTGAATGGTTTTTGAAACACAGTAATGCAATAGAAATGAAAATATGTGTTGTAGATTTAGGAAGATGTTTTGATTATTGATAGAGACTCATCCTGAAATATGCAGTTCATTATGTTTATGCATTAAAAGCAGAAACTTTTTACATGAATATCTTAGTGAAAGGCAATGCTTTAGAAAATATTGAAATCCATTCATTGTAGAAACTGTGATTTGATGTTAAAGAATAAAGCAGCAACACATATATTTTTGTATTATATCATTACATACTGAAGAGTGAAACTGTTAGCCTCTTGTGTCCTAATATTGAGCCTGATGGGCACAGTGAGTGGCCAGAAAGTTACCCCATGACCAACTCATTTACTGTTCTCAGGTGATCTTAACCCTAAGTTGCCACAACATGCAGTGTGCCTTCTAAAGTAAGGCATAGCATTAAACTACAATTTATTTAGATAAAGCTCGTGCTTGATATTGTTACATTTCGCTGAGAGCCAGAATTGTGAAGCCAGCCAGCACGGCTATTGCTTGGGAACAGTTCCATAAATATATCCATTGGTGGGCAGTGGCTCAGTGGACATTACGTGATCGCGGCCATGCTTACACACAACAATAGAAGAAATGTTGGAAGCATTATTTTCTTTGCGGTCTGCCGCTAATCATTCAAAATGTCTAAACATTTGTAAACCAAACTGATCTTAAAAGTTGTTTCTGGATCTGAAAGTCTTTCATCTTCATACAGTTCATCAAAATGTTTCTTTTTTCCATTTGGCCTCCACACCCCATTTATTTGAAGTTTCTTCGGCTGCTCCTTTTACTTGCATATAGTTGCCTCTTTTTTGCACTAAAGAACCAGTTGAGTGCCCTAGTAATTTGGTTGCTTTGGCCAACATCATATCATGACTTTGCAGTGCATTAGAAATTGCATGAAGAAAATCAGATTTTCAGTTTTCTTCACTAAATTGGATGCAGAAATTTAATCTTCTGACTCTCTAAGAAAAAAAAATTTGAAATTTCTTTTACAGTGTCAGAATAGTGGAATCCTAATGCAGCCAATGCATTGTGCCTAGAGGACCATCAAGTAGAACATAATTGTTCGTTTCCTCCCCAATAACCCCTGAGGCAGAAGCCAGTTCTTTTAATATAGCCCATCATTTTATACTATGACCATAAAAGGTAAAAAAAGGTAAAGCTATCCCTGTAACAGACAGTGGAGGCCCATAGGATTGTGAGAGGTTTAGACTCCCACATTTTCCAGACAGTCGGCTCATACATGACCAGTGAAGTCACTGCGCAAGGTTGACATGCTAAGTGTGTGGTGTTCCAATTTTTATGTGGTAGCGTAGTTGGTTGAGGCACTATGCTACAAGCTGGACAGTTGCTGCTTCGATTCCTGCTATCACTGGATTTCTCAAGTGACTTAATTGTTCCAGCTCCACTATGGCCCTGGGATCGACTCAGTTTCTAACCGAAATGAGTACCAGGAATACTATGGTCATAGGATTATAAAATTGTTCCAGCATTATTAAATATAATTCCAGAAATGTTTTGAACACAGTCATTTAGAGCAAGATCTAACTATAGTATATTTATCGTTTATATGTTAATGTCATAAGGCTGTTGATGGACACCTCTTCAAAGATGAACAGGATATAGACCTGTAAAACTTGCAGTCTGATTTAGACATCATACAGTGATCACCGATCAGAGGAGAATTTCTAGTAATTACTTAAGTCATGAATGGTGAACTATATTGGAATTATAAATTTATGATGGTTGTGGCACAGATGACTTTTGCAAAACAAAGAAGGCTAGGCTAGTACTATTAAATGTGACAGTAAAACATTAGGAACTTGAAAAATAAATATATAATTTTGTATTTACATTGCATTAATTATTAATTGAGCCTGGTATCTGAATGGGCCCAAGTGTGTTGCAATGTCTGCCCCCAGTAGTTTGCCCATTTTTAAGCGATAACCTGAACATTCAGCTTCAGTGACAAGAATTACACATATCTTATGTGGGTTATTTTTTAGTTTGTGTATCACTACATTTGATTATATTACAGCCAGTTCTTGCTTAGTATGCAAAATTGGTTTGCAAAACACAGAGTTTAAATAGAAAAATGGTACAAATACCAGTTTTCCCATAAAAATTGATGTAAATATATATATATATTGTCAGATCCTTCCAGTTGCACTTTGGTGCTGGGGTCGACTCAGCCTCCAACAGAAATGAGTATCAGGAATGTTCCTGGGGTTAAAGTGCAGCCAGTGCATAAGGCTGACAACCTCGCCACCATCTGTGAGCTGATTGTTTAGAAAATGTGGGGGCCTTGACATCCCACAACCCTAGCGGCCTCCATTGCCTGTTACAAAGATAGCTTTACCTTTTCATATTCTAAACACATGTAGAGTGGTTTTTGCAACAGTTTATACTTTTAAATAATATGTAGAATTATAAGGAAAAAATTAATTATATGCATCATGTTTCCAAGTACTGTATGGTATTGAAAAGGTTTCTATAGAGTTGTCTATATTGTTCATATAGTTTAGTGAAGTTTCATGAAATTGTAAATTATTTTTCCAACTGTTTAGTCCATGTGCATTATAATGAAACTCACAAAGCCATAAACAAAATTTGGTAACACTTATGAAAAAATATCTTACTAAAATGGTATTATGTAAAGGTTACTTGTATTTGTGAAACGATTTTTCAGTTAAAGCACTGTTGAAGTGTATATGCACTGAAAAGTGTGTTTGAAAGAAGGCAAGATACATATGGCATGAATCATATATGCTTAAGCTGTTCTAATTGTGAGATGGTATTGTTAATACTAATTGTGTCATTTATGTGAAAAATCAAATAAATGCCTATATGGTCACAGATTACTGTATTTGCCAAAATTAATCTGCACCTCAATTTTGAAAGTTTAAGTAAAAGAAAAGTACAGATCAGAACTCTCAAGTTTGGCATCCTTGAGACCAGACTAGAGCAGGCCAGAGAATTTTCCAAATATGATCAATATATTATTTTTTTTTCATTGGCACTATGGCCCTCATTTGGGCCTAGGCCTACCTCCATGAAACTCTCCTTTTCACTTCGGTTTTACTAGATCTTAGACACATGGTAGGACTCCTTGGGTGGGTGATCAGCTCATCACAAGGCCTCTACCTGTACACAAACACAGAAAAACGCACACAAACATCCATGCCCTGAATGGGGTTTGCACCCATGATCCCGGCTTCCGAGCAAGCGAAGACAGACAGCCGTAGACTGTTCGGCTACTGTGACCGGCAATCGATATATTATAGAACACGTAAATAACCCATATTTATGAGTAAATAACAAAGAAATTACAAAGTGAAACATGAATATCAAGGCTGTATGCACTCTGTACCATGACTGATGGATGTAAACAAATAGTGGATAACCATGAAAACCTAGTACCAGTGGTGCAGAGTGGTTCTCTGGCAAACTAACCTTGTGCTGGACCATGGAATACCAGATCTGAGAGGTTTGACCTGTATCTTTTTACATTTTAGCTATACAAAATTTAATGAACAGTTTCTGAATAAAGAAAGAACTGTCCTTTATTAAACAATTTTGAAAGTCCACATTGTTAGTGCAATGCTGCAATGCAAAGAAAATATTTTTTGGAGGCAAAAAAATGTGCACATTGTTTTTGGGCAAGTATGGAAGTACTCTTCAAGTCATACACCCCCAAATAAACAGAGGATTAAGATATCTGGAATGATAAATTACTTATTAAGTGCATATTCTAATAATTTTTTATCATATGAAACTGTCCTGATTCATTATGCCTTATATACTTGATATATCAGTAATGCACATATATTATCAAGAAATAGGAACATTGCTAGATTTAGGTTTTATTTTTGCTGTCACTGCCAAATGAATGTTTTTGTAGGTTTTGAGTTTCTCACAGCATTATCTATGAAGTATATGATCCTCAGGGTCGTATCAGTATTTCTGTTTTCTTTCTTGGGTTACTCTTCAACCCTGAAGGTGGAGCCAACACATTCTTCAGAAAAGTTGATCAGTGTGTACAAAACTGTGTGGCATTACTGCCCAGATTGTACTCTTCAAGTATGCTTTTGGTGATAGTACAGTTTTAATTTACACTGTTTGGATTTTTTGTTTTTATGCTGAGTGTGTAAGAGTCATGGGATTTTAATGTTCTGGAGGTGTACTGTACATTTAGATCAATTTTATTATTATATCCTCACAATCTGTTTTTGTTAAGACACTCTGTGATATGTTCACGAGATCCTGTCATTGATCCAAATTTTGAACTGTGTATGTTAACACCACATATACACGGTGCCAAATCCCAGAAGACTGCTTTCTTCATAGTCACTGCCGTGAAAGCCTCAAATCTTACATGTGTATGTCCAGTCCACATCCTCCTATCCTATTTCTCTAAGATCAATTTTAATACTGTCCTTAGCTCATCTCATTAACTATTTAAAATTAAAACAATCATTTGTCTGAATATAAAATGTTTCTTTCCAATACCATTTCAGAAATCTTATTAAACATACACACTTCAGTGGCAGTTATAGTATTTACTTCCATCATTAAAGGTTTTGAAGGACAGACATCTATGAATAATTTGTGATTCGTCTCACTGAAACAAAATTAACTGAACTTCTTTCAGACCCTACATCAGTTTCCTGAATTTTATATTCTTATGACACGCTCTGACCTGAAACTATTCTTTGATCCCCCCTAGAGGGTTCAAGATGGTCAGGAGCAATAAAGGTACAGAATTAGGTCAGTTGGAAAAGAGAAATGATGAATCTCAGGTTTGAGGGAAATGTTTCTTATCATCGTAATCATCATCCCTGAGGTTACTGCTGGTGATGTATACAAAACATTGGAGGAGCAATTGAGCCTTAAAAAGTTGGTTTGCACCAAACTCAAAACTAAATTTAACTTATACTCTTCCTTTCATATTTCTGTAACAGAAGACAAATTTTCTATAATAAATAGTACTGTTGCCTGGCCCTCTGGTTGCCTAATTGCTCCATATTGTGATCAGTTTATACTCAACCAGATATTTACCCACAGTACGCCTGAAGTGGGAACTCCTGCTGCTGCTATTAACTCTGCTGGGTAATGATGGGGTTAATGGAGGAAGCTTGACATCCACCTAAACATGGCCTATTTCAGTGATGCAAGCATGAGTGGTTTGGCCATGTCACATGTGAATTTCGGTAACTGTCTTGGCATTTACTATCAAAACGTTAGAGGTCTCAGGACCAAGCAGCTTGAATTTTATGACAATGTGTGCACCTCCAATTTTGACATAATTTGTCTGTCCAAGACATGGCTCAATGACCTGTGCTACAATCATAATATATTCCCTAGCAGATACACTGTTTACTTTTCTGACCAGCTATATATAAAAAAGGCTTGTGGTGGTGGCATTTACCAGCCATTACCGCCTGTCTGAGTTACATGTATCAGCTCTGTCATGTTACTATTACATGCACCAGCAGTATTAAGGACCTAGTTATTTTATTTGATTCAAAGTTACATTTTCACAGTCATGTTGATTTCGTATTTTCTGAATGTATAAAGCTTTGAGGCCTTACTTGCTCCATAACCTACAGATTTTCCTCCCTGGAGTGTTTATATGTTACTATAGTATACTTTAGTCAGGCCCAAGTTGGAATATGCGTTTGTAGTTTGGAACTCTGTCATGTCCACTAATGCTAATAAGCTTGAACGGATCCAGCAAAAGTTTGCATCTGTCCATTTTTATCGTTTTTTACCTCATGTTCCATGTACTTATACTGTTGCCTTAGAGAAATTAAGTTTAAATTCTTTACATAAATGGAGACATGACCTCAGTGCATTTATTTTGTGAAGGTCTATCATGGCCTTAAATCCTACATTTCCCCTTTGGAAAATGTTAGCTTTCATGTTCCTCCCAGCAATCTTAGAAACTTCTCATCGTTTGGTGTTTGTCCCTCCAATAAACACTGTCCTGTGCTTGGTGTGCATGCTGCCAACATGGTGGGTAAAGATTTCAACATATTTGCAATTGGAGCCATTTCTCTCAATCACGTTTATATTTATCAACCCAAAATTGTTAGTATTATCTGGTTATGTGGTTCTTGTTACCTCTCCTCATCTTTGTTTACTTTTCTGCATTAATATGTTTTTCCTCCAGTACTTGCCTGTAATTTGTCTTTGAATTTATGTTGTGTTTGTTCATAATGTAATTACTTTTATTTACACTGTGCTGTCTGTAATGGGCCTTTTAGCTGTTGACTCAGCTCATAAATAATAAAGAATGTTGTTGTTATTATTATTATTATGTTTGCAAGAACAAAATTGACTGTTGTTCTGTTATGGATATTGTTGGTCTCCATGTATCCACTAAGCAAATTAGAGACTTTTCCACACTGATGTAGCAGAGCTGGATACAATGTCTGAAGCTGATGCTGTTCTCTGACACTGTTGACGTGTCCTGATGTTGATCCAGTGGCCTGCTCAATATAGTATACCTGATCACACTCATAGGGATATTGTATATTCCCAGTGTCCTTAGTCTCAGGTCATCCTTGACCTGCTGAAGGAAACCAGTGGGAGGCCAATTTACGTGATGATGTGCCAGGACAGCAAGCTGCCGGTACATTAAGATTCACCCAACATAAGGCACAGGAATGGATTAATCCTTCTTGTTATTGGGCAGCTCAACTCTTATGGCAGAACTGAAAGCCCTGTGAATTTGCTTGTCACCTCTCTGCTGAAAGCATCTCTCAGACACTCGAGTTCATCATGAAGGCTGTCCTGGTCACACAGAGCTTCCGCTCTGTGCACCAGTGGTAATAGTACAGTGTTTTTGTTGGATGGGTGGTGATGAGAACTAGGGTTGAGATGGAGGTTGGTATGAGTAGGTGTATGGTCTACTTCATGGCCCAGAGAGCCATCAGATTTTTTTGTAAATATCCTGGATATGATCTCCAGTAATCTGATGTGCAACTGTTGGACTTTCACCAAGCCACTAATTCCCCTTCCCCCCAGAAATGATGTACCCATCAGCACACTGTATTTTGACAGCCATAGTGATGAAAGAAGTAGTCTCCTATGATAGCCAACTCAAGACTGCATACACCATGCAACAACCATCCAGACTGAGGCTGTACCCTCCATGGGTAATCCCTGTGGTCAGTAAACTGACTGGCAAGTCCCTCATATTAAGCCAATGCTGTGTTGAAATTAAAATTAAGGTCTTTCAGGACCCATTTTTTGCTATATTTTTTTCAGAATATAACTGTGTTGTTCAGGAATGAATTTCCCTTCAACAGAAACCACTTTCTGGTAGACAAGCAGTTTTTCTGCCTTCCAAAGTTTTTATTATGCCAAAATACCATGTGAATGAGCCGTTCATCCCTTTTACCGCCCTGTACATTGCCTTCAACTGTAGGTTTAAATCATCCTATTTCATCATGTCACAAAACAGGCAAAAATGATTTACACTGCAAAGAAGTTATCTACCTGGATTACCAAATGTAGATATGCAACTCAGTGCTGTGGAAACGGATTACTATCAATAACCCACAGCCATTTCTAGTCCAAGAGTGGAAATTAATTGAATTATGTACTCTTCAATGATATCAGTCATTCATACAGTTCATACAGTTCACGAACCACGAAAAAGAATCTTATACCAGCCAGCCGTTTACTTACCTGACCAATCACAACACTGCATTGACGCCATTGGTCAGTGAAACTTGTTTGGCATGTGACACAGCCCATGCCAAGAGGTAAGTTTGAAGAATACTGATGATGCTGATTATCGCCGATTACTATCCAGGTTACACTCATTCCCCCTTTCTCTTTACTACATTTAAATGAATAATTTTTCAACCTTGTTGAACTGCATAACATCTTACTCCGTTTCTAGAAATGAATGCATTGTGTAAGATTTTAGGCTTTCACGGCGGTGACTATGAAGAAAGCATTGGTTTAACCAGTATCAACTCCACTCATATATCTGCCGGTGGAAAGTTTGTAAAGCTCCTGTTAGGATATAGAATTCGGTTAATAAGTGGGATAATTACGTGAGCTACCTGTACCAGTACTGCATATATTTCCAGCATTTCGGAGGGTTTTGTTGCAGTTCCTAACATGGAATGTTTCGTGTTCTTTAGCTCGGGTCATTTACAGTCTGGCAAACACAAACTGTACAAGAAGCCTTAATTGCAAAATCCCTCAATGGTTTACATAGTGATTGACCACAGTGAAGTGCACAGACGATGATTTCCAACAGCATAAATTGTGTATTAGCAGAAGGCAAGTAAACCACGCGGCGCTTATAAGTGCTGCATGGTGGGTAAAATATGACGAACGAAAACGTCACATGACCTCAAGATAAGGTGTCTGCAGTGTCTAATGTTAACGACGGGAATGAGGAGAAAGTTTGGTTTAGATCTGTGATATTTAATATAAAATATATATATAAATAAATATAGCATTGCAGTTATATTTAATGAATTATACAAGATATATTAGTAAACTGTGTATCGTTTACTTACCAACCTTATTTTGTTGCTGATGTGGGGCTTGCCATGGCACTTAGAAAAGTCAAGGGTAACTTCGAGCGTATGTTTGACAAAAATTTAACAGATTTAGTTCGTGGAATAAGGAATAACAAAGACAGCGAGGTTAGTATTATTTGATCTGTTTTAACTGCAGGTGTCATTATACATACTAATCGCTGATGGAAAGTAAAGTAAGGTGCATGACGTGAAGCAGGTTAGGAGTTGCAAGGATTTTAAAATAGTATATTTATGTTGTAACAACTTTATTTCAGGCCAAATATATTGCTCAGTGTATTGAAGAGATAAAACAAGAACTGCGTCAAGACAACGTTGCTGTCAAGGCAAATGCTGTTGCTAAACTTACATATGTGAGTAGTGAGCATGAGCGCTATGTCTTAAAATCTAAGGATATAACTTGAGAGCCTGGCGCAGATCATTCGGTCAGTCCATTGGGAGGGATATGTGCTACTTGCAGTAGCTTGCATTGGGTGTGGGGCATAGACTAGTGTCCTATACACACTACAGTTTGTCTTCAGTATTTTTGCAGTATATCTTTGAATTGCTACTGTGAAGTAAGCTTATGTGTTATGTGCCTATGTAAAAAATCCCAAGGCCCTGTTATTGTGCTAAAACTTTCAGTCGGTCGCATTACTTCGAGTTAAAATCGCATGTGAGAGTTGCAGGTAAGTAGGGGGAGATTCAGGAACAGTTTAAAAGAAATCTACTTATATAATTGTAAATATGGACAGACATTGTTATTACTGGACAAGGAAGAGCTGAATCAAACTAGAGTGCTGACTGAAGAAAACAGGATGAAATGAGTTCTAGGTTTGAGCATTCCCCTTGAAAATTCCTTAAGACACTTTGAATGGGATGCTTGGTTTTAAAATTTCATATTTTAACGTATGAGGTTCTGTTTCTGAATGATTGTGAACATTTTATGGAGGCACAAAGACTGATTCTGGCATCTCTTATGATCTGGGTCGGTTTTATTCGTGATTTGTCTGTCTGTGGGCTTATCACATTGCAGGTCTGAATATGCATGGAAAGAAATGGTGCGAGGAACTTCATTTTGTCTGAATGATTTGCGGTAGGTTTTAATATAACATGCATGTAGAAGTGTCTCTCGGAATGTAATATAGGCATTTATAACTTTTTAGAGGCTTTGATATGAATTTCATGTTTCACATAGAAGTAGTACAGGTTATGTATGTTAACAAGGTGACACAAGGTATATAAATTCACAGCTATGGATATGTCAGATTATACAACGTTGGCATGTACAAATCAAATTGAGGCTTGAAACTAAGGACAGCAGCAACATCTATGAATTAGAAAATGCAGAATTTAGAACTTCCATGCTGTGACATGGCAAATTTTATTTGTGGGGGAAATATAGCTCCAAGTTAAATGCTTTCTGTTTATGGATTATTTTATGACTTTCAGAGTATAGACTGTTTAGTGTTGAATGGTGAAATGATCGATAAATTGGAAAGAATGTGGAAGGAAAGTGTCATGGCATAATTGAAACTATATTCTGGCATTTGCCTGGAGGGGCTGAGGAAGATTTGAACTGAGCACTTCCTCAGTAAAAGTCTAGAGCAATAGCACTATACCAGCTTTCCTGGGTGATGAAGATTTTCATTTATTGTCCTATTACAGAGGAAACAGGGAGGTATTGAATTTGCAACTGTAACTGTTCTTTTACTCGCCCTTACTTCGGGCTCCACTTTGTAATTGTTTCTTGGGGTCTGTTCAAGGTTAGTTGTCTTACCTTTCACTAATCACTTGACCTGCACCACTATTGATGTCAGTCACTGATGATGCGGAAGTCCGGCTGCGATCACGGGTCCGATTCCTAGGCAGTTTCTCAGGGGCTTTAGGGTGGATGAAGGGTGAGGGTAAATCGCTAGTCTCCTGGACAGTGGGATTAGTGGGTAAAGATGGGCAGAGCTGGATTCTTTCTCAGGGCTTACGGGCCTCAGGTCGAAGGGGAAGGCCGTTGGGACCCTGGACTTAGACACGCTGTATAGGGGTTGTGAAGACACTTAGTGATCACAAAGATACACAACACTTAATGTATTTGTAATGCAAGAGTAAACACTGAATTTATTAACTATCAATTACACAACACCTTCTGGGCTGCTCTGATTCCGACAGTACAGAGTTCGGTAAGTGTTAACTTCTAACCAGAGAGGAATGAATTGAGGAAAACTTGAGAGACTACTCAAGAGACTGCGTTGAGAGACTGCATTGAGAGCCCGCGTTTAGTCACTACTCACTACGATTAAGAACAATGTGATTTATACTGTAATTTAACTGATAGCTCCTCCCCGGCGGGGGTTCTTACTTTGAATCCCATTGGCGTCACTATTGGAGAGGGTGGTAAAACTTCCAAGAGTAACCAATGAGGTCCAATGGTCATAAGTGGTTGGCTGAGAGGCAGATGACAATTTGACCTGCTTATTTAAGATTTATTTGTAGGAAATCTCAGCACAAGTGTTCTGGCTTAAATCCCAAGACTCGCTGGCAGCGTGAGAACTGGAGAGGCGCGATTTTCTACCCTTTTATGGTTCTGTTTTTCCTAGTTCCGGCTTCCTGTAAACAGGTGAGCGTCGCACCTGTGGACTTGATGCTACTACTAATCCCCTAATCTTATTCGAACGGTTGAAGTGTTTGAACCCGTGCAGGTGTGGGGTCTTTGCAATGATGGTACATACAAGTACCTTTCCGTTCGCTGTAGTTATTCGAAGTAATGGAAATACTTATTAATGATAATTACTAAGTGTGGCTATATGCCGGGGACGATTACACAACATTACTGGAAAGCTGTTGAAAATAGGTGCAAGAGGAAATACTTCCTAAAGAGCAGAAATAGAAAATAAACTTTTTTTATCTACCTGTACCAGGAAAAGTTAGGAAATTTTAAATCTAACTCAAATGTGATTAAGACATTTGTGATTTTTATTGCCTAAACATTTAATCTAAGACAAACTTGTAAACTAACTAACATGCATACATTCACCAGCTTAGTTTGTGGATGGAATTAGGAATTTGAGAAGTTTTATGTATAGTAGTTAAAGTTATGTACACACACTGTCTGTCTTATTCTTTTCATATTTTCAGTGTCATCTGATGGCTGGGTATAATTCCTAAATCTTCAATCTTCTTCTGGCTTTCATTTTTATGGTGTGGTATACCCACTTGTTTCTGTAATCATAATTAATGTGTAATTTTAGGTTCTTACACTGGTGAATATGAACATTACTGTCTTGCAGGATGTGTCATCATCAGGGCCTGGATTTTGATGACATGTCATCTTTTTTCCCTTGTATCCTATGCGATGTTCTTAAATATATAAATCTTGGATATGAGCTGCTGGTTACAGAAATGTAAATTTTATCGGTAATTTTTTGTCATTTTTTGACATTTTTAGGTTTAAGGTCATTTTTTCATTTTGGGGGTAATTTATTGGTAAATTTTTGGACTTTTAAGGATATTTCTTGTCATTTTTGGACATTTTAGGGAATTTTTCGTCATATGTTTTCTGAAATGTGGATAACATGGAAGCGAAGTGTTCTTTTTCTCCTTTAGGTCATTTTTCTGGATTTTTTTCACTCATTTTATAGCTCATTTTTTAAATATTTTCAGATCATCAAAATCCGGGCCCTGGTCATCATGTAGTTTCTAGATAGGTACCACGCTTTCAGAGGAAGCTACTGCCCATATCTTTAGGGCACTGGGAATGTGTGACATGTATTTCCTGTAATGAGTTATGATATAGATTCCTCATCTTGCTGTGTATGGTGAACTGGGATGATATGTATACAAGGCTGCATTTCCAGTAGCATGTCATGTTTTTTTAATTGGTTATTCAGTGATGTGCTGTCTGTATGAGGGTTATGGAGTGCACTTGATGGGACGATTAATGAATGTGGAGCAGTTGGTGGAATGAGAATTTGTAGGTGAAGCCGAAATACTCAGAGAAAACCTGCTCCATTGCCACTTTTTCTACCAAATATCCCACATGACCTGACTTGGGATTGAACCTGGGATGCCACAGTGGGAGGCCTGATGTATGTCAAAGCCCCATGTGTCATGTTCATTATGTTAGGATTTCAGATACAGTCCAATTGATTCGTGTAGGCACAAGTGGAATTGTACATACGAAAATGTAAATGAAATGAAATGAAATGAAATGAAAAAAGAAATAACACTCCAAGTTGCATATATCAAGAGATTATCTCATGAGGCCATAGCATCAGTACTAGTCTGGAAAAATTGTGTCTGCATGAAGAGGGTTTTGTGAAAGAAGTTCCACAAGATGAGGTCATGGAGCCGGTGATCTAACCCTTATGGAATGAGATTCAGATGGTTCAGACAGTGACTGTGACTTCTATTAAATACAAAATTGTAAATGACAGTAATAGAATATGCATGATGATGGTTCCATAATTAAAAGTAGCATGTAATGCCTGTAACCCTTAATATAAAATGTGTGACAGTGCCCACAACTTAGTGGCTCTACTTCGCTTGATGTGATGACCCACCAGATCACATGCTGACAGCAGTAGTGAGGGTAACATTTGGCATGTAGGTGTTATATGCGTATCTTGTATTTATACTGCATATGTAATAATTTATTTGAAACATTTCTGTGTTGACCACAATGAATGACACTAAGAATTAACTTGCAGGATGAACTGTATTAAATTTCTTTAGTAATTCTGTATGAAAGGGGATAGCTCAATCAGTACAGCAAGGGGCTTTGAGCTAGACACATGTGGTTCAATTGCCAGCAGGAGCAAGGATTTATCTCTACTCTGCAGCATCCGGATCAGCTCTGAGTCCCATCTAACGTACCCATCAGGTAGTAGAGGTGCTTACCCTGGGTGTAAAGCAGTCACGACCTGAAGCTGACCACTTACCTCCATCTGGTGCTGAGGACCAGAATGCTTAATTAAGTAAGCACGAGGACAAATTTGACCTACCCATCAGGTGGTAGAGGTCCTTTCCCTGGGTGTAAAGTGGTCAGGACCTGAAGCTGACCACTTACCTCCATCTGGTGCTGAGGAGCAGAATGCTTAATTAAGTAAGCACAAGGACAAATTTGTCATTTTGGGGGGGGGGGGCG